AGTGGGTAAAAATGAAGTGATTGGGATGGAGGAAAAGTGCTTTGGAGATTACTGAAGATTTTCTGATAACTTTGTACCTCCAATCTTCCATATGCCCACGGAGCATTATTAATACTCCTGGTGGTACAGCTGTTTTACCACTGTGAAGCTGCACACAAAGCAATCTGTTACAGAGAAAAAATTAGGCAGTTTTCCACTATTTTATATACAAATGAATATATTACCCCATAATTTATAAATATATATATATATATACAAAAATAAATAAATCAGACCTTCAAAAGATGACCCCATGATTTTCATTTCACAGTGCAATGCAAATTGAGAAAGATATGAAATAAAGGAGAATGAGTCCTCATTACACTGCCTCTTTTGTTGAGCTCATAGTTGCAATCCAAACGCCCCCACAGTGAAGTCAGTGCCATTGATTTTGCTTTCAGTGTGTCAGTCAATTGAAACTCTGTTCCTGATATGTTATTTACACATCACTTCTGGAGCTGATCTTTGTTTTATTCAAATGATCAGCACAACATTTTAGTGTGGTCAAGCAAGTTGTGCTTGGTAAGAATTAATAGGATTTTTCTCCATCTTACTTTATTTTTTCTCTCCCCACCTCATCTCTTTAAATCCCAACTTCACTTCCCTCCCACTAATGACACTCCCCAGGGCAGTGGGTGAACTGCAACCTGGAAAGGGGCCATGGCTCTTCCACGAAATCTTCTGGTTTCTGCGGAAGAGTGTCCATTTCCTGGAGCCAGTCTGAGACAGACAGTGCTCTGCAGTCAGGAGCAGGACTGGAATCCAGTGACCCTTAATCCATAGGAAATGCTATGAAACTCACAGCAAATCAATTCTCCCTCAGCTGTCCACAGCCTGAGTTTCTGCCTGTCTCGTGTCAGTGCCATTCCCTGGATCAGTGAGAAGGAAGTGTTTTACAAACACAATGCACAGCTTTGCATACTTGGAACGGGAATGTTCTTGTGAATGGGTTTTCCTGAAGTTACCAGTTTCAGGGGGTGCACCCCTCCCAGCCTAAGGAAGGGGTCCCCCTAATTCCCTCTTAGACTTTTTTCCTAATGTTCCTCTGAAGGCCAAAGGGTTAATGTGTTTCCTGTTAGGTTTTAAGTGAAAGTACTAACATTTCCCTCTATGGGTCAAATATAACTAAACACAATTAACCTTCATTAATTACTTCTGGTTTGACTAACAGTGCCTCTTCTCCAATTTACACACCTTCCAAAGTTTAGACCTGTACTTAAATCTACATCATACCTTATCACAACAGAGCTTCAATACTCCTGGGATAATCCCATATTCAGCAAAAGGATAACTGTGACCAGAAGTGCCATGGGTTAACTACAGGGGTAGACATCAGGATTCCCAGGCTCCAGGTGAATTCTGCCAGCAACTTTCTGAATGTCTGTGGATAACTTTCTTATGTCTCAGTTTGCTCTGCTGTAAAATAGATTTAGAAACAGAAGAAATCTGTGAAATATTGTTGGGTAGTGAATTCCTTTTCCTACAGAACTACAGCTGCATCTTGCTGCTGATACACCACTGTGGTTCTGTGCAATTTAAATCATTCTGGATAGAGTAGCAGGAAGCAGCTTTGCTTAAGAGAATATTTCAGTCTAATTCACAGGAAAAGAAAAAAATAGATTTTTACTGGTTTAACCATTTCTAATTTTCCCACAGTTGAAGCTGTTTTTCCTACAGGGGAAAGTGAACAGACGTGCTACTGAACTGCAGGACTGCAAAGTCCCAGCTCTCCTTCCAGAGCCTGGCACCTTGGGGAACAGCAAATGGAACAATCAGGCAGGCAGCATCTGCTGCCATCAGAATTTCAGAGGCAGTTATGTTTGCTGAGATCTCAGACTGCAATCTTGCCATCACTCTACAGATAAAATAGCATTAGCAACAACTGCATTCCAAGCCAGTTGATGTCAGCAGGGGTCTGTTATTGTTGCTCTCAGCATAGAAGAGTTGGCAGACTGACACACAGGCCACCAGACATTGATTCCAGCCCTTGTCCTGAGTGAGCCATTTGACAAATAAAGAGGACAAGTTCTTAAATCTGACTGGGCCACGCACAAAAAAAAAAAAAAATATTCCCCCCCAGAAAAACCAAACCCAACAAAATAAAAGCCAGGAGCAATAACAATTCTCCTCTTCCTTTTTGCTCCTACCACTTTTTTGAAGCTAGAGACGCAGCCTCATGGGTGACTGTGATCCTAACCTCAGAAATAGTTTGCATTTTCTTAGAATAAGAGGTGACTCACCCCACTCACTTACTCATAATCATTGTAGATTGTTGCTTGTGGAAATACATGCTGCCAACAGGGCTCACTGGTGGATAGGCTGGACACATTTTTCTTGGATAAAAACAGTCTCTGGCTCCAGAAAGTTAATTATTAAGCCACTGAGCTGTCAGGCATCTGAAGACTTTGCAGTGTTCTATTATTAACTCAATATATTGGATAAATCTGAAACAAGTAATTCAGAAAAAAAGAACTCGAGTTCACACTATTGAACAAGTGTTCTGCATTTACTATATACAGAGACACAAAAGCCAAATTACTTGCATACGCTAAAGAGTAATTAAAGGAGTTAGTGTTTTGAAGTAAGAGTACTTTGATTTTAAAGGGGCTTTTAAAAGGTTGTGTCTTATATTCGATATTTAACCTGGCCAAACACTTGGGAGTTAGCACACAGATGTTCTGAGTGACCACACTGAGTGCCCCGAAGCCGTAGCTCGGTGTTCTTTATTCGGAAAATGGAGCTGATCGCACCTGAGTGTTCCCGGCGGGATTCTCCCACCTCGGGCACCGCCCTCTGCCGGCCCCGGCCCGGCTCTACAGCGGCACAAAATGGGAATTCTGAGCCCACGAGGCCGTATGGCTCTGCCCATACCGTCCTTCAGACAGCAAAGATGGGGAAAGAATGACTCGTTCATTAAAGCTGACTTGGCATAATTTCTTTTATAGAGGTTAATTCTTTCAGTTCTCTACAGCCAGACGGAGAAATCATGATTTTCTAACTGATGCTTTTAGGTCAAGGGTGGAGGTTTGACAACAGAGCAAAGGACACAGGAGGCTTCACTGCAGGTGCACAAATGCCCTGGTTGGTTGCTTTTCTCCCTAGAAGAGTAAGTAAAGCATTGCAAGGCAGGTGATCCTTTCCCCTGTGGACAGGTATGGCAGTACCAGACTCTGGTCCCAGGAGAGCTGTGGGACCTGTGGTGGCACTGCTCTGCCTTTGGCACTGTCCCCAGCTGCTTCTATAGGCCCTGTGTGCCACCTGCAGCCTCACCCTTCAGTCCAGGGGCAGGCAGGGCTGGCAACAGACCACAGGTACAGCTCAGCCTCTTTAGAGACACCCACAGCAAGGCTTTGTACATGCTACAGCTTTTTTGGAGTTCAAGAAGAGAGTTAAAGTGGTACAGACCAAAGTATGAAGGTCATAATGAATCAGTTCAGGATGGGGTGGTTTTTACAAGCCAGTCTCCTTTGTGACAGGTAAAATCTGCAACCCTTGCTGATACATCAGTGACAGCAATGTATCACCAGGACCATTCTGAGCTGGATGCAGGAACTCCCAACAGCTTCAATAGCCCAGCAGGACAATCATTATAGCAGTGACTCACAGAGATTGCCCTGCACAAAACAGTATTGTTGCTAACAAGATGTACAGGACAGTAGATACAGACAAATTATCTGCTGCCCTTTGTAACTTTATCACAACCCAGCAATACCCAGGCTCCAGAGAGGTCCTAGGGATGGATGTCATCACCACCTTCCAGTCAGGGAGAGAACCACTTGCCAGCAAGTGTGGGATAGGGAGCAGCAGACCTGCCCCACACTAATGAAAGCAACAGTGACATCATCTACATTAGCAATAGCACATTTAAAGAGCTCTTTGTTAGCAGCACACAAGAGTGAATTCTTCATGAAGCACACCTGATTTTCCATGGATTGCCAAAGAGTTACACCCAAATCCACTTTCCTACGCAGCTGCACTTCAAAATAAACTTAGAAGCACACAAAAGGTGACTAATACAGGAGACAAAAACAGATTCTTCTATCAATCATGTTCACCTAGCAGAATAAAAGGGTTATCTTTTTTGTTTTGTATTTGAGTTTTTTATTCCCCTCCACCCATAAAGGTGGAAGCAAAGCCAATGAACTCTGGGAGAATTGCCTACATATCAAAATTCCCCCCTGCATGCTGTGGTCCAATAAAGTCATGTTTATGAAACATCTAGCCCTGGACTCTGACCTCTCCTGCACCATCATTGGAGCTAGAGACACTCAGTGAGCTGAGAATAGTTATTCCAGCACATTTGACTCTTGGGAGGTTCAAGTTAAATAGCTCAATCCGTTATTCCAAAAAGCTCTGAAACAGAACTACAGTTCCTCCTCTCCACTCAACACTCCTCCCCCTCCAAACCCCACCCTCACAACCCCTTTGAGGGACAAAGTGGGCTCCTGTAAGCAATGACTTTAGAAGTTAAGCACAGCTGATTCCAAGACAAAGCCTTCATTTTTGCTCTCTAGGGCAGGCAACTGCTTCAAAGCACTTCCTATGCTCTATCCTAAGGGTACCTGAATAGGTATTGAACTGGTTAACTGCTGTACTTACCTCTCCTCCAAATTATTACTTACAGTTAAGTAGCACTACTAATCTTTAAATATTTTTGCAAGAGGCTGAAGCTAGTTTAGCTCAGTTATGCACAGGGTAAGATGAATCAGATTTCTATAGGAAGTACCTGGAGAGAAGCAGTAGTTTCTTGGTCCTGTAATAGAAAGCTGCTGTATGCAGAAATCAGAGCTTGGGGTGACCAAGCTGTTTTAAATCCACTATCTTCAGCATTGAATCTCTCATGGTTTAGACCTGCATTCATGCCATTATCTATTTTTTACTAACTTTACTTATCCCATCAGTCAGCTTTTAAGAGAGCAAGTGACACAGTTCAATTTGATGTACTGATAACACTTTATTGAACTTCAAGTAAGTTTTACTTAAAAGCCTGTTCAGTGTATTTATTACTGTAACAGGTCATGTAGAAGGTAAGAGGTTATGGGAAGGCCTGCAGAGCAGTGGCTCAAGGCTTTGTGAGAGGCCTGACCTGCCCACATGCATTCTTTCCCTGGACAAGGACAGAAACAGGAAGTATTTACAAGTATATCTCAAAGAATGAGGTTTACATTTAAAAATTCACAGACATATATATAGAGTTTGAACTGTTCAAGTATGTTTCAGTTAGACAAAGTGCTACAGGACACAGAAAAACCAGTAAAGGCAAGAGGAACTATTAAGACAAAGAGGTGGCAGTCATTTGTGTACTAATCCACTTGTAGGTGGTGGCAGCATATACAAGATCTAGAAGTTGAAAGAATTTGGTGTACTGTCCTGGATTTGGAAAGTGTAGCTGTCAGCAGTAGAGTCTGGTACAACATTTTGGTCTTCCTCCTCCTAGAAGGCAAGAACAGAAGAATGTTGAAGTAGCAGTAGCATTTGAATCTAGTAGTCAGTGCTGAAACAGAAAATAAAAAGTGGACAAGTCCCCTGAAGCTACTTACTTCTGCTGAGAAATATTTCTCAATGATGGTGGAAGAGGCTCTGTACACTTGTTCATTTTCATGTGACTGGAGAGCTTCAATTCTGTCTAGACCCCCACACTCCTCAATCATGAGGCAAAGCTTTTCAGTCTCATTAATCTTCTCAGCAGCCTGCAACAGAAAAGTGTGGAATAATCTCCAGAAAGATATATGGCAGCAGCTACTGGAGAGCCATTAGCAACAACAAAGACAATAACCAAGTATATTGCAAGCACATACCATGAAAATGTTGGAAACTGCATCCAAGATAACGAGCACAGTTTTGCTGTCTTTAGTTGAGAGAAGATTCAGTAGGGGTTCAAGAACACCAGCCTGAACAAGGTACACGATCTGGTCAATTGTTCCACCACTTGTGTAGTTTGTCACAGCCCACACAGCTTCCTTCTGAGATTTGAAATCCCCCTGTGAAAGTAAAAGCAGAGTGTTTGAACACAGACAAGTAATAGGAAAAGGCTCAACATAGTAAATATAATCTTTGTTTACCTTCCTCAGAACACCAATGAGATAAGGCACAAGCCCGTGGTCTATAACTCGCTGGATCTGATCCTGACGTCCAGCAGTGATGTTGGACATTGTCCAGGCTGCTTCTTTCTGAATGTTGTTTTTATGATGAGAAAGGAGACTTGGAAAGACAGCCAGTGCTCCTGAGTCAATAACAATCTGTGTCTGCTCATCAGTACCAGTGACAATATTTCCTATTGCTCTTAGTGAAGGAGTCTGAAACAAAAATGAATGGAATACTTAGGAAAATTGTTCAAAACCAGATTAGATTATAGCAAACACAGCTCTACTTGATCACCATCTACTCTAACCTTCTCAGTTAACAGCATGACCTGCTATGTACAATGGGGCTTGGGCTCCTCATTAGCATTCCACAGGCAGACACTAATATCTGCATGCAGAGACTGCACCTTCCAAGGCCAGTCTGCAAACAACCACCCATGAGAGAGCTTAGGCAAACTACCTGCTAAATACTATTGCAGTTTTATGATTCTCTAATTATAGTGTGCACAGAGCACATTTGTGAACACTGCCCCTAGAATTTAGGTCTGCAACAGCAATCGAAAGGCAAGCTTTAGTGAATGTTGACTGTTGTGCTGGCCTGTGAGGTAAATCCAATGATTATATAAAGTAGCTTGATAGTCATCACCAGCAGCAGTCTGTCTCATCCCCCAGGCAGGAGAGAAACTGATGTCTCACTTCACAAAAATTAGAACAGGCACCTGACTCGTGTATGAAAAGAGCCATTCAGTTCCATGGACTCTCCCTAACTGCAGTTCCAGCCAGGATTCAAATCAAGCAATGGCAGCATATCCAATCACTTACCATTATTGGCAGTTCACTACATCCCAGGAGTCTCACAAGTTGTGGCACCAATCCAGTTTTCACAACAACTTCTATCCTGTCATTGGAACCGTCTGTGAGGTAGGAAATTGCCCAGCATGTGTCTGCCAACACCTCAGGGTCATCGTGGTGCAGGAGCCGGACCAGAGTTGGAAGGATCTGCTGGATGGCTTCTATGGGAGGGGCAGGATTCTTATTGCGACACAGGTTTGAGAGGGTCCACGTCACATTGCGTAAATATCCAGACTGCAATGGTTGAAATCAACGGTTAGCAGTGGTTTAGCTAGGTTCTAGTCAATAATTGTAACTTGAATCGCTCTGCACACTTACAGCCAGGGAAGAGAGGTCAGGAACAGCGAGGAGACTCAGCAGTGGCTCGATTGCACCATATTTAATAACCAGGTCTCTGTAGGCAGAACCATCCCCTGGAAAAAAAAAAAAAAGCCAGGTGAAGACTAGGAAAAAAAGGGACATGTGTACACAGAACCACTGTGTGTTAGGAGATTAATTCTACTCCTTAACAAGGGCTGGATAAAATAAGAAGAAACAAGAGGGCAAAAGGACTACTGCCATGGTTAAATTGCATGACAAGCATGTTCAATCAAGCCACTGAACTTCACCTTTTATGTTGGAAGAAGAGGTAGAGTTTTCTATACAGCTTTTCCTAAGAGTTCATAACTGTGTGGGGTCTTGCGTGTTTCTTTGGAGAGAAATCTAAATCCTACACTAGAACAGAGCTTACCCCGTTAGATGGGACTTGAAATGCTTTATAATCATCAGCTACATGACTGGATGCTACAGAATAATACTGATGGCATGTCAGAGTTTGACTGAGAATTCTATTGCAAGGCATAATAAATACCTTATAACTGATTTTAAAACTCTAAGGGTAAACTTTAAGAGCACCCCAATCAAACAAGGCTTTTAAAAAAAACAAGATAATACTCTTTGTGTGAACATTCACTGTTCTCCAAGGCATAGCCACTGGAAACCCTAATACAGCAGATTAAATATTTAACTATATTCTTTATTTTGACAATTTTTAAAAGTCTGGTTCCAACACTGGCAGATCAAGTAATCCTGAGAGAAGCATGAGAAACTTCAGCATACCAATACTTATCAGCAAGCAGCCAGTTCAAAGCAAGGAATATTAGCCATCACATACACAATTATTTGAGTCACTGCTTCCTGCCTTCCCCCTTTTAGTCAACACACACAGCAGAGCTCATTGCTGAATCCACAAAAACACTGAGATGTCTGAGAAAGGTTTGTGTTGTATCATGATTAGAGATCCAGCAAACCTGAGCTGAAATCTGGAAGCAGAGCCCACAATACAACCCACAGGTTGTGCCAGGCATTGCATGAGGTTTGCAGACAAAGTTTCCTGCAGCTTGCTCTGCAATGCAGGGCATGTTATGACTGGAAAGCCATTAGGGCAGAGCTCCCAAGCAGCTCAGCACAGGGCATGGTAAGGCAGGAGTGACGTCCTCCCACCTCAGACAAGGGCACAGGTCTGAATTAGAGCTGTGCAGCACGTGGACATACCTGCAATATTCCCCAAGGCCCACACAGCCTGCTCACTGATGTGAGTGTGTGGAGAGGCCAGCAGGGAAATGAAGGCTGGAATTGCCCCTCCATCCACCACTGCCTTGGTTTGCTCTGACGTGCCAGAGGCGATGTTGGTGAGTGCCCAGGCAGATTCAAACTGGATGGGACTGCAGTCTGTTTTGCCCAGGAACGAGACAAACTTTGGGATCAAACCAGCCCGAATTATGTTGTCTATTGGGGGTTGCTTCTCTCTTGAGAGGAGTTTCCTAGGGAAGAAGGCAAACAAGAAGCATTATTTTTGCCTGCAGACATCTGAACGACTAATTAAAGTCTTAAAAGCACCATATAAAAAAAAAAAGTTTAGCATTGTCTTAACATTCAGAGAAGACAACACAGCATGAAAGAGAAACGCAGACAAGCTGAACACTGGCTTCCTAGGCCTCTGTTAACACTGGGTTTGGCCTGTCTTCACTATGTGAGAGGTTCTGCTCAGACTCTGAAGTAAAGCAGACCCGCAGGAGTCATAACACATCTGAACTGCTAGAGGCTTCACAGCAGAAAGAGGTTAATGACTGCTAGAAGCATTACTGCAGCAATGTGCAAGCTTATTAAAGGATATTTTAGAATTGGAAGGAGCAACAAACTTCACAGACTTCAAACACCAGCCATCTCATTGTTCACATTATTCTAAGGTGGATTGCCACACTCATACATATCAGAACTAAGTGTTAACAGAGTTTAAAAGGTACCTTACTTTGCTATAACAAGAGGTTTACTATAATTATTCCTTCAAATCTTAGGTGACTACTGTTAAGTTTGCCACCACTAGAGCAAATCACTTCTTCCTACTAAAATATTCAGGCACTTTAAATATTCAAAAGCCACATGCTTTCAATAAAATTGTGCCTAAGTTATGGGTACCTCAACATTGTACATAAGATGGTGTTTGTTGAAATACTGCTTGATTAGAAAGACATGAGCAGCCAAGTAGGCTCATAAGTCAATTCTCTTACCTTGCCTAGTTATTTGCTTGCACAGCTGAATTGGTTTCCTCTGAACTGCTTACCTGGCAGCTTGAGTAGCCTGTAGCTGAAGCTCCATATTATTACTATTAACTCCTTTGACTATTTCTTCAACTGACCAGTGTGCCAAAACCTGTACAAGAAAATGTTACATGAGTGCTTCACTAGGACAGTCATGTGCATTCCTGACCAGAGAGCTCTTACACAATACCATGAATAGGCCCCAATTTACAACCACTTCCCTGAGAACCACCAGCACATGGTATTTCAAAACCTCATCAGCTTCATCTAGTTACCTCAACTGCTGAAAGCTTTTTCAACCAAGTGCTTCATACCAGTTACGCTAGGCTTAAAATGCAGCTGCAGCAAGCTGTGTGTAAGAGTGCTGTCCATTAGAGGTGATAATACACACCTGAGTTGTTAATGCAGATGTTGTAGAGCTGCCCTGCCCTTGAGAAGGGATTCATGCTGGCCTGGCTGCAGAACCTTAGACAGTAAGACCCTCCAGGTGTGTCTATTCAGAGTGCCCACTTACCTGGTTGCCTCTGTTTTCCTGAAGGGGAGAAGTAGCATCGTCTGGTAAAGTGCTCACATTTCTTCTTTTAAGCATCTGGTCATCTTTCTTAGCTTTTCTCAGCTCCACATTGACTTCAATGCGCCGCCTTCTCATTTCCTAGAGAATAATCACTCAGAGTAAGGTCTTGGCTTTCAAAACTTAGATTTTAAGAGACAATTGCTGGCTAAAGTACTAATTACACCAGAGTACTCACTGTGCTGTCCTTTCCTTTGTTCTTGAATCTGTTCAATCGAGCTGACGGTGTATTTGCATTCTCATTAGTAGACATCTTGCTTGTTAGATTTTTGAGTGGGACAGATAAAAACAAGCCTGCAAACAGAGCAAAGAAACAGCAAGTTTACTCTACAAAAGTTAAATCTTAAAAATTGGATCCATACTCAAGAATAAGAGGCACTTGTTTGCATTAATACTATAACAACATCTGACTTGATCAACAGCTGTCTCTTTAAACAGCCAGATGTTACAACAAGCTCCAGCATCAACACAAAAGCAGAAGACACAGTCACATGATTTTAAGGCACTTTAAACCAAATACTATTAGTTGTTATTTTCAGGAGCAAGATAGATTCTCCTTTCCACAAACAACACACACGCACTGTTAAATACTATTTTCACCATCTCGTACCTGTGTTGCACAAGACCCCACCCAGCCCCACCCTGACCTTTTTGGACGAGCTCTCGCACTGGGAAGGACCCCGGGGAGCGTTTGCCGTCCGGGTGTAGCCAGCAGCACATAACAACGGCTACATGGGTAACGAAGAAAACCCGCGCACCTCGGCTCCCCCCAGCGTGATCTACTGCATAAAAACTGGCTTCGCTTCAGCCACAGCCCCGCCAGAGCGACAACCCGCGCTGGGACACACCAGCCCTGTCAGCCTCAGAGCAGACCGCGGAGGGGTGGGAGGCTCCGGAGAGAGGCCCCAGCCGAGATTGCCCACGAAGCACGGCCCCTTCCAAAAGGGCAGCGCAGGGCCCGTGTCCCCGCCGCCCCACACCCAGCTCCTGGCCCCGATGCCAGCCCCGCACCTCGGCCGGGACACCACCAGCCGCTCCACTGCTGCCGCACGCTGCCACTGCCCACGTCCGCCCCACGCGGCATTTAAATTTCCCGCGGCCGCGCCCTGCCATTGGCCAGTTCGAGCCAAAGCAGCCTTCTGATTGGTCGGTTTGAAAGCAGCCCGGCCCGCGATGAAGGGGAACACCCTCCCGGAAGAGCCGGTCGGACGTGACGTCTCACAAGGCCTGGTACTACAGCTTCCGGCGTGCCCCGCGCCGCCCTCCTGAGGCTTGGTGGCACTACCCACGCGGGGCACGCTGGGAGCTGTAGTGCACGGGGCCGGGCTCGGTAATATCCCGGGACGGGAGCGGGGGATCCGAGTGAGGGAATTGTATCCCTGGAGCGATCTCGATCTGAGCGGTTTGGGGTAGAAAAACGCATTCCCTCATGCAGAGCGGAGATTCTGCCTCAGTAATCAGTAGGACACCGCAGGCTTCCCCTGGGACAAGGGCGTGTAGTGACAGAACGAGGGGGAATGGCTTCAAACCGAAAGAGAGCGGGTTTAGATGGGGTACTGGGAGGAAATTCTTTCCTGTAAGGGTAGTGAGGCCCTGGCACAGATTCCCAGAGAAGCTGTGGCTGCCCCATGCCTGGAAGTGTCCAAGGCTAGACTGAATGGGGCTCCAAACAACCTGGGTTAGTGGAAGTTGTCCCTGCCCAGGGCAGGGCATGGAACTGGATCAGCTTTAAAGTCCTTTCCAACCCAAAATCATTCTGTGATTCCATGGCTCCATGCCTCACTTATTGTCTCCGAGAAATGTGCATAGAAATGCAAAGAAAAGGGGATATGAGATTACACTTGAAAGCAGCTCTACAGCCATCAGGGCAGACGAAAACTAAATTATACAGAATAACAAAAGAAAATTATTCCTGCCCCCGTGGCATGGCATGAAAAGGGATGGGATTGTTTCCAATAGGTTTGGCCTGCTCATGAGGGATGGAATACAAAAGAACACCGATTTTCACAGGAGATATAATTCAAACCATAAAACTGTAGGAAAAACATGACTCTGACAGCAACTCTGACATTTCAAGACACCTATAAGGTATAACAGAGAAGTGTCAGGTATGCACATCGATATGTCTGTGTGTTAAGCCGTCACATTAAACCACTAATACCAATCTGTAGGTGCACACAGGTGTGCAGGAGGTTTGCTGAGGAGGAGGAATTACCAGTGATATCTTATATAGCTGGTTTTGGGCCTTACAGTGCTGAGCTTTGTAAAAAGCACCCACAAAAACAAGAGCGGGGAAGCCAAGAGAAGAGAAGGCACATTACTAACAAATGGAGATATTAAACAAGAGTAATTTGACAGAAAAAAAGCAGTTCAAAAGCAGAAATGGAGGTAAACCACCTGTTTTCCTGAAGGAAAGGTTGGCACGAAGAAATTCCATTGGGTCATGAATGGCTGGCAGTGCATGCTCTGGAACAGTGAAATCTGGGCGCAGGGATGGATGTTGAGGGCAGGGAGAGGGCTGGCAGTGCCTGAGATCCCTGAGGGAGTGTGTGTGAGGTGTTGCAGGTGGTGTGGGCTGTGAGGGAGGTGACAGCTCCGAAGGCTCTTACCAGCACAGTGAAGCGACAGAGAGGTGGAGGGAGACTGGGAAGTTGGGACTGAACAGCGGCCAAGCTGCGGGTGAGATTATAGGGCAGCGGAGGGTGCGTGTGAGGCGGGCAAAAGGGCCGCGAGAGGTCACGGAGCTCTGAGGAGGGGGATTGCTGAGAAGGCTGAGTATGGAGCTGCCGCGACTGGATGGAGCTACCGGCTGCTGCACCGGAGCCACGGCCGGGCCCGTGAGGGGAAGTTTAAAGACGCGGGGCAGGAGGGCGCCGGTGGCCGCGGCTCCAGCGGGGACAGCGGAGCGCCCGCGCGCGGCTCCGACGGTGACGCGCTCGCGCCGCGGGCGGGAACCCGCTCTGAGGCGAGGGCGGGGCCGCGGGCACGCGCTGCGGGGCGGGGCCTGGGGGCACCTCCACCAATGGTGTGCGAGGAGGGAGGGGCGGGGCCTGCCCGCCGCGAGCGGGGAGAACGTGACAGCCGGCAGGGGGCGGGGCCGGGGCCGGCCGGGCGGGGCTCTTACCAGGCAGTGCGCGCAAGCTCCGCTGGGTGACCCAGTGGCCTAATGGATAAGGCATCAGCCTCCGGAGCTGGGGATTGTGGGTTCGAGTCCCATCTGGGTCGTGCCGCGTTCTTTTGTGGCGCTGCCGCGGGGCTTCCCCTGCCCGGGACCCCCCGACTCTTTTACCCGCAGCCGCCCCGGGCCCGGCCCCGAGCCTCGCCGGTACCGTGTGCTGCCGATGGCTGGGGTCCGGGGGATCCCGCGCGTGGGTCCCGCTCCCTCCCGGGGTCTGCGGGAGCGCAGCAGCCCCGGATCCGGACATGAGCACGGCGCTGTCGGTGCGTGTTTTGCCCGGCCCCGCTGGGAAAGCTCTTCCATCTCCGCTGCTGGAGCATCCCCGTGCCGCTGGAGTGCTGGGAATAATCCAGACGCCACTACTGTGCTCTTAATGGAGATCCCGGTGAAGAGTCTGGGGAAACAGTGCAGACACAGCCCTATGTGAATGAGAGTTGAATGGCACCGCCAGCTAATTCAGCAAAAAATATCCTTGGGATACAGGTCTGTGGGATGCTCCCATGTGTATCCATCCATCCATCCATCCATCCATCCATCCATCCATCCATCCATCCATCCATCCATCCATCCCTCCCCAGTGCATTCACACTCCAGCTTCTCCTGCTTGCTGCAGGTACCAAAGCAATGTAGGAGGAGCCCTCCTCTCCCTCATCCTCAGTTTACATTCCTACTCCCTTAATGGCCATCTTGGGATAGTTCTAGAATTAAAATGTTTCAAATAACAGAGGAAAACAAGGATTATTAAGTGCTGCAGTAGAAATGTAACTTCTTGAGTAATAGATGTGGTGAAATGTCATTTATTTTCCACACTATTCTGGTGAATTTTCTGTATCTTTGTTCACCCATCGCTGCTGGAGCCAAAGCCCCGAGCTTTTGGGAATCCTATTGAAATGCTTAATTAAGGCAGGACAAAACAAACGGCTTAAACTAAGCAAAACTGAATACCTTGCCACAGGCATTGCTGAGGGTTAGATTTTCTGTCAAGGGTGGGTTTTCGTGCCTTTATTGAGTTTTAAAGTTGTTGATTGTCCCTTAAAGTCATGAGCAGCTTCTACAGCACCCGGCAGCAGCTGTTGAGTTAAACTGTCACAATGGAAATCTTGTGTAGCAATAAGGTCACTTAGAAATAAGCCTTCTTAATTCAGTAATCCAAATCAGGGTTGGCTTGGTGTGTAAAAGTTCTTCATGATGGCAAAGAGAGATTTAAAAATAAAGCTGTGTGGGATCAGCAGAGCTTTCCCTTGGACTGGACAGTCACTACTGCATTTTTCAGTCTGAAAAGAATCACTGAAACTGGTTCCTGAAACTAAAAGAGGAGATTAGCAGCTGTATCACTGGAGGTGACCAGAAATCCCCAAATACGTTCCATTGTCATGCACATCCTTTACAAATCCTGCATGCCAGGGAGTGTTTCAGCATCTCCCAAATTCCCCTCCAGAACGCAGTTCTCCATAGCCAGGAAAACCAGGCTTGCTCCTGATGATTTTTTCCCTACATAGTGCCACAGGAGGGCAAGACTCTCCCCAAAATAAAAATCTGCTGCTAAAACCACGAGTGGGTGTGTTATTCCCAGGACACAGGTGATGCAGCCAGGGGGTTGTTCCCGATGGGAAGGAGCACATTCCTCCCAGGCAGGGCTGGTGGAGGCAGCAGCTTGGTCTTGCTCCAGTGGGTTGTCCATTCCCGTTTCCCCTCAGGCTGCCTCTCATTAGCATGAATCGGGGGAAGGGCATAAAAGACTCCAGTTCTCTTTGAGTCTGGAAAATCTTTACTTCAAAATGACAACCCAAGTGTTCTGGCTCCTCTGCTTTGTCATTAGATCATCTTCTGGTAAGTCTGTTATCTTCAGAGCGGGGCTGGGGCACATCTGCCTTGGGAATCTGGGGAGGCTGAAGACATTCCTACAAACCCAGCCCGTAGCCTTTTCAGCAAGTAAGGACAAAAGAAAAAAACATTTCAATTTATTTGTGGGATGAGAATGTAAATTGCAATATTTAATTTGCCAGCACTGGGAAGCATTAAGAACACCTGGCAGGAGCAGGCAGGGAGCTGGTGCTCTGTCCTGCCAGACACTAGTGGCAGTGAAGTTGGATTTGCTTCTGCATTTGGGGTTTTTATAATTTGTATGTGACCTGTCTCTTTTAGTCTCCTCCACCTCTAGCTCCAGGTGCCTGACTGACTTTAACATGTTCAGTGTGCCCTGTGTGCCTGCAGCAAGCTGTCCTGAGTGCATTTATTTCAGTTTTAGTGCCTCACTGACTGAACAGAAATAGCATTTACATCTGTTCCACTGGGATTTGGTTATGTTGCAGTCGTATTTCTTAGGTTGCAACAACTAGACAGGAATATGCTGGTACAGGAGGAGCACCTCAATGTCCTGGACAGATTTAGTAGAGAAAAATGAACTATTTCTTGATACAATCCGTGACTGAGGAGGCGTGATAAAGTGGTAGAAGAGTTTATTTACACACCCAAGTCTGAGACACCTGTTCAGAGGGCACAACTCCACACTGAACCATCTCCAAACCCCCCTTTGCCTGCTGCTTTCGGCAGCTTGGACTTCTTCCACCCCTCTCTCCATGGACATTCTTTTGACTTTACGTGTGGCCAGCCCAAATATCAGGGAATCTTTCCCATGACAGCAGCTGGTGAGAGCACAGGGGGAGAAGTGGCAAGGTCAGCAGTTGAATCAGTTATAGGAGATAAACCAGGACGTTGTTCATCTGTGTATGTCAAATCTCTCTTTTCACACAAGGAGCTGGGATCAGCCTCCTACACAGAATAACCACGGCCGTGAACACCAGACAGAGGCTGTGTGTGGGTGAGCTCTGTGAAAACTCTGCTGGCTCACTCCAGGCATGCAGGGAAGGGCTAAAGGAAAAGGAAAATGGACTGCCAGGGGAAATTTCTCTCCTGCCAGGCTTAACATTTTGGTCATTTTGCTTTGTGAGGTTCAAGAAATCGAGGTGAAGGTATCAATGAAAGTGCAGGTGACTGCCCAGCTTGTGTGAACAGTGTCATTAAGTTATTTTTCCCTGGATTCCCAGACACTTCTTCTTTCTCAACCCTTGTCCTCTCAAATTAAGCAAAGCCTTGAAATAATTGTTACTCAGCAGCACTAGTCTAATTACTGCTACTATATGCTCAAGTGAGAGATCCAAAACTGTGGATAAAGACCTTTCCATCCGAAGCCCCTGAAGAGTCTGGATGACATTGTCAACAGGCATCCCATGGATGGGAAAACCAAATAGTTCTGCTGTCATGGTCTTTTAAACAAGCATCCCAAATGGCAACATGAACCTTGTTTCCTCAGATGCTCCCTAGAGATTCAGGGGTTTGAGAAAAGGGTTTGTTTTTAATTTGCAACAATAATAATGTAAAAATGCAAATCTCCTGTTTTGCTCACACAGCTGCATTCCCTGTCCTGGATCTTCAATATCTGAGTAGAGGAATGAGGAGCTCTACTGTGCTTCATCTATTGAGATGGGATGGATGCTTAATCTGTTGAGATATTTATTAGTTTTTTGTCTTATTGTTGAAGGTCTCACGTATGGATTAGAGCCTCAAATCTTCCCATTCTGAAGCACATGGAATAAAAGATTTAAAACACTGATTTTCTTTTTCTTTTTTTTTTGCCTGTAGGATCCCTGCCCTATGCTGAGAAACCCGGCCAGGCTCTCAGCAAAGATGTTTTTAGTTCAGCAGCTGCTGCTGATGTTCAGGTGGAAGTGCCAGCGCGGGGCACGGGCAGTGCCAGCGGGAATCCCGGGCTCCTGGGAATGCCTCCCGCCCTCCTGCAGCAGCCAAAACCCCTGCGAATCCCCTCCCTGGCCTCTGACAAGAAGAAACGCGGGGAGCCTTCCCTGGAAAACAGCACAGGGCTGAGGAAGCACCTGGGACAGCACGGAGGGGTCGTGGCCCTGCACAGCCCGAGCCGGGGGGATTCTCCCGCCCCGCTGGACTCCGGCCAGGCCAACAGGCAGCACACGGACCGGCGGCTGGCCAAGGCTGCCAACAGCGTCTGGGCTCACACCCTCCACTCCCACCCAAAGGCGACATCCCTGCTGGAAGCTCATCCTTTTCCACACTCCGCAACAGTGGAGTCAAATGATCCCAACGCGCTGCACCACTTCAACCGGCCAGGGAGGGCAATCCCCTACAAACACCCCGAGCCCTTCACCAGGATCCCCAAACCCTCCTGGGTCACCAACCGCTGGTCACCCAGCCCGATGGACCTGGGCGTGCTGAGGAGAGGTAAGGGACAGGCTGCCCAGAGCCTCCCAAAGGCTTCCATTGCAAATTTCATTGCAAATGGGATGAGAGGTGCCCAAAGGGCCCGTGTGTGCTCCTCAGGCTGTGTTCCTGTTGTAGATGGTGACAAGGAGAAGGTGTGTCTGAGCGAGTGCAGGAAGGAGCAGGATGAAGTGGAGGCTTTCTGTGCCAGCGAGTTTGGTAGGTGATGTCCCCCTCAACCCACAGGGACAGAGCACCTTCTGTCTACTTATCACTTCTACTTTTAAAATACTGTGATTAAGATACGGTAAGTATGCTAAATAATTACCAAGTATTCAAAAAGGACCCATCACAGCTCTTCATAAACATCCTTGCATTACCCTTTCCCTACCTTGGGCTAGTACTGCCCTTTTTTATGTTTCCTCTGGAGGAACAGTGTCCTTGAGACTGGTCAATAGAACTGAAAAGAACAATTGTTTCAGATAATACTCTCAACTTAAACATTGCAGCTGGGTTATTTATCTCTTACTGTTTAGAGCAAGTTTGATTTTGGAGATTGAAGTTTGAAATTAAAATGGTGGACCAAACAGAACTAGGACTGTAATCCTCTCTCTAGAGAGGATTCTTCTTGAAGTTCCTTAGGATTCAGTGTCTTTAGTCCTTGTGTTCACATTGAGGTAAATAAAGGTGGCAGGAAACAGCCTGGTATTTTTGTACAGACTGTTTAAGGACAAGCATTTTCTGAGTGAAACCCTGCCTTGTGCTTACAGACTTGTGAAACAGATACCAACTTTTTCTCACAGTATTTTAAGAGATAAGGAAAATACAAGCCCAGTGGTAACAGATGTTTCCATTTGTAGAACATAAACACGTTAGGAGACATCTGTTTTCTCTAAATGGAGAAGTCAGGAAGTGCTTTCTACAAATGCTATCCTGCTTTGGTTTTTACCACTCTCACACATTCCTGCCCAACGTGGGCTTCACATCAACACGACCTCTGTGTGTTTTAGCCCTTAACCAACAGCTCTGCTCCTAAACTGAAAGGACAGGTAGGAAAAAGTCTGAGCAACAGATGAGCCAAAGTTCCAGGGCAGTGAGGAGAGAGAACTTTTCCTTTCTTTACATTTACAGTGCAGATAAAAGAATAAATGACTGAATCAGAGTTCTTCCCGAGGCAGGTGTAACAGCAGGTGCAGTAGCCCCACTAACACGGTGCTGTTTTCCCATCCCTGCATTCAGCTCAGCACTTGCCAGAGCCAGAAACTGGGAGAACAGCATGAAGTGCTTGTCTGAGCACCCAACACAACCTACTTGGTGTCCTTGTCTCTTGGTATGACAAGGGCCTTTTATTTCAAAAGCCAAAGTGTTTCATTACCAGCTTGGCTTTGTACTTCATTGGGAAGTTTTAAATTTGAAAATTTTACTCTGCTAGGTAAATATGCCCACTTTTTATATATCAGGATAGAAAATGGTACTAAACCCATTGCTTACTTCAGTAGGAAACATCTCAAACCTGTAAAGCACAAGCTTTGCAAAGCAGCAAAACTTCAGGCAATGACCTCACCAGATGTGATTATTTGAAGCAATTCCTACTGCCCACTCCTGAGCCAAAGGATTCCTGCTGACACTTCCTTTACAGCGTTTTAAATGACAGCCTTCACACATACCCCGAAAATTGCCACAATATAAAATCTGATCCTATTTTCCTCTCTCCCTTAAAACAGCAGTGAATGGAATTGTTTATAACCTGGAAAGCCTGGGGAATGGAGTGCAGTGGATTACCTTCTTGGTAGACAGTGATGGATTGTACAAGATGAGTCGCCTGTATGTCACTCCTGACGCCGCCTTCTTCCGAGTTCACATCCTGGTTGTGGATACTTCAAACTGCAGTAAACCATGTCCAGACTTTAAACTTGGTAAATCATTCCAGCTAAATCCATTCTGCTATTCCTCTGCATGCACTGCAATCTTAGTCTGCCCTACTTTAATAGGCTTAGCCTGGTTGTTGGGAAAATTTGGAAGAAAAGTATTTACTCAAAGTTGAGGCCTTTTTTTTCCTTCCAAATTTCTCAAAATTTTCACAAGAAAACCAGCTGCATGAAGAAGTCAGGTACCAGCATAGCCCTTTCCTAATTCTGTCCAGTTGCAAAATGATGGCAAGTTTTCAGGATCCCTAAAACAATACAAGCAAGAACTTAAGTTGGTTTGTTTGTAAGTCGTTGTTTTCCTTTTAAGTGAAAGTTAATCAAATACCATTTGAATACCAAAATCACCATTTCCATGCCAGCACCACCCCCACGTCCCAGCGGAACTCAGGGTGTTTCCATAGGCAAAACTTCACATCTGTTCCCAACGCCGGTGCCCTCAGAGTGACCCCCCATTCATTCCCTGTGGCTCAGCAGCCCCGTTTGTGTTGTTTTTGCTGTTGCAGGCAGCAGGTACATCGTGATGGGCCCTGTTTGTGTTGTTTTTGCTGTTGCAGGCAGCAGGTACATCGTGATGGGGCACATCTACCACAGGCGCCGGCAGGTGCCCCCCGAGCTGCTGCCAGCCCTGCGGGGGCGGCTGCGCCCAGGGGACGGCTGGGTCGGGAGCAGCAGCAGCTACGTGAGGAGATTCAACAGGAAAAGGGATCTCAGGGTGAGGGCAGCGCGCTCCAAGTGTCCATAACGCTCCAGGAGCTCCGTGCAGGATGTGAGAGCAGCGGGATCCACCCTCAGAGCACACCTGGGCTCCCGCCTGGAACCGCAATCCAACACCGGCTTTTGTGCTTTAGCAAACCTCGAGCAGGCACCCCTGGTGAGGCTCAGCACAGAAGGCAGTCTAGGGAATGTTAACTGGCCGTGAATTTGCTCCAGATGCTTTCAGAGCCACAGGTTATCGTTGCTTCCCCTGCTGCAGTGTGCCTCGAATAATCCGTAGTAACTGTAATGCAAAATTCTGGCAGCTTTGTCCTCGGTACACAACAACTGCACTTTGAAGCCTTCACCTTGAACACAGATGATACCACAGCTTTATCTACACAGGATGTTCACTGTGCTTTCACAGTTCTGCCTCAAGTATCACATGCATTTGATTTCAGAGAAACCAACACCACTAAGTACCATTCATATTATTTTTGTCTCCTCAACCATGTCCATGGTATTTCTGTAAATTACACCGTTCTTCCAGCAGAGCTGGATGTTCACACGAAGCATGCAGAATAGAGTGTAATAATCTGAGTATATGAGCACATTGACTGAAAGCAAATCAAGAATTGCAGAACACAAATGCCCAGTTGTGTTTACAAGTGACAGTGAAGGGAATGCAAAATGAGCACAGGCTGCACACACTGGGTGTGCCTGGGCACTTCACCCCAGAGCTGTGCTGAATGCCATTCCCCAGGAGAAATATTGCCAAGCTTGTACTTGCACAAGAGTAAGGTTACTTTTTAAATAAAAAAGACAATATTTTAGTACCTTTAATGTGGTGAAATTGAGATGTTTGTTGTTCCAGTCAGTATTCGCAGATAATAAGTCTGTAAAAGAAACTAATAAAACGCTCATGAGGTTCTGCTCTCACTGTGAACTGGGTTCTGGAAAACCCAAAAAGCTTATGTAATGATGCTGCACAAAGGCACCTCCTTGCGTGACAAGCTGGATGAGGATTTGATACATATTTATATTAAGAAATTTTTAAAATGCAGCACAGCTTAAAACCCCACATACACAGTGATATGATGTGACCTGCCACAGGAACCAGTGGCAGTTCTATGGAAGCATTTTCTGTTTTGAAACAAGGTAGCTGTGACACACTGTATTTGTCACACATCTCTGTAGCTTCATTTAGTGTCACTGGAAAGCCACGGAGGAGGGGATGGGATGGGCTACCCTGCATCAAATGTTTCTTGATATGGAGCCAAATACCAAGACCAAACATCCCATATTTGGGACCTAAAAAGGCTCTTACTGGAGGATAGAAATTTACTCATAGCATGAGTCCACCTAAAAAATACCATGTCCCACTTTTGGTATGGGAAAGACTTTGCATGGAGCACAGCATGGATTGATGGAATTTTCCTGAGAAAATCTGAGGGGGTTTTGATTTGGCAGAAGGACTGTTCTGGCAATGAATCAAAGCTCCAGAGTGACTGGGAGGGACAGAAGGAGGAAGGGTTACATGTGCTTCTCGAGTTTCTTTGTTTCTATTTTCGGGGGAAGTCCAGGGAGTGAGCAGCAACTCCTCCAGGCATCCCCCTGCCCAGAGCAGCAGCCGAGCCCCGTTGCTGTTATCCTGCCCCAGCCCAGGGCAGTGTGTGTAAAACCCAACACAAACCTCCCTGGGAAGGGACAAGCACAGGACACCAGTGCTCAGGACATACCAAGGCCGAGCTCAGGGCCCATAACTGACACCAAACACTGCGATACAGATGCTGCTCTGGGAGCCTGAAAAGCCATTTATCCAATGTTCTCTTCCTGTACTACCGAATCTTCTTACCTTTCCCTTCTTGATTGGAAGGTCCCTCCTTAAAATGCTCCCACAGCAGCTGGGCAACAAATCCCTGTGTGTCACAGCCCCATGGAGAAGGGCTGGAGCAGGAGCAGGACTGCTGTCATCAGGTTCATCACATACTACACACCTCCTGAACAATTCCTAGATCGAGAGGATTTCTCCAGTCTTGCACTTGCTACTCCAAAACCCTCCCAGCAATAACCACACTGGGATCTGGATGGTGCTCATGTTCAACAGCTGCCATGGTAATTTTGGTACCTCACAGTCAATAATTTCCTTTCCAGTTGGATAAGTATGGAAAATTCTGCTGCCACCACACAGAAATCTGGATGCAAAGGAATAACTGTTCTCATCCTGTCTGTCCAGGGTTTACTCGAGGCTTTAGTGCAAGCCCAACTTCTTACTGTACTTTAAATTTCCATTAACTTCTGCATGAACTAAATTGAGATCGAGGATAATTGCTTCAAATTTGAGGAGACAGGAAAGGAAAATTAAGCTGGCACAGCTCACATTTTCAATATCTTAGAACATATGACAATTTCAAAACAACAGTTGCAATAATTTATAAAATACAAAGAGGACAAGGACTGAGCAGAGATCACAAACCTTATGAACTTTATGCTTGATGGCAGGTGGGGATTAATTACAAGTGATTTATTTCCTGTAACACCATTTAACTATAAAACATCACCACTACTAAATCCAGAGAAGTACCTTGACCTGCCCAATGGCAACTGAACACACTGAAAGAGGATCTCATGGAATCACAGAATGGTTTGGGTTGGGTGATTAATCAGCAGCATTAAATTGCATTGGTATGTATGGATTATTTCCCTCATCAGCCTAATTCAGTTACATATGAGCTGGCAAAGCCAAGACCTATATCCAATAACATTTTCAATGTTTCATTAGAAACACCACCAAATCCATGTCAAACACATTACTTTATTTGTCTAGGATGATGTGTCCTATAAGGTACAAAAAAGTACTCTTCAGTTTGCCACAATTTGTTAAAAACAGCAATCTATTGCCTACAGGTATGAAAGGTTTAAATCATGTCAATATGGATTTAGGTATGAATAAATAGTACAGAAATGCTGAGAAATTGGGATGAGAGGCAGGATATGTCCCAGTGCTGTTAAAGGTGAGATTTTTCCTTGTCCCATTAAAACACAATGCTTACAATATGCAGCATTTTTTTAAAACGTCAAAGGACAACATAACCTAAATGCAATTACTCTTCTTTGACTTTCAGAAGCATAAATGGATTATTGTTTCCACACTGAACAATTAGTAATTTTCACATATAGGTTAAATGACAACGTTTGTATGTACAAAAACACAGGGTTTTTAGTAGATAAAATCCCCCCAGAAGAACCTGAACACCTGAGCTGGAAGTTTAAGAAAGGGTGGTCAGTAGCAACATCTTTTTTAAGAAAAACAACAGAGGAGGTTCTTGCATAGCAAGGTGTGAGGTTAAACCCAAAAGGAGCTTATCCATAAATCAGGTAAATCCCAGACCACTGCAGAACAGAAGTTGACTGTGAGTTAGTGCAAAAGCTGGTCAGCTGAGTGAGGAGCTGCAGAGAAACCAGGGCTGGCAACTACAGACAGCTACCAGAGGAAGTCAGTCACACACAGAAGGAAAAGCCTCCTCATGTGCAATTTGCATCTTCCTGGGCTCCAGTTCACCCCTCAGGGCAGCGCTGCTCCCACAGGGAACGCGGAGGCAGCGCAGGAGCCTCCCAGGGACACCATGACAGGAGGGTACTGCACATCACTGCCAGAGCACCCAGCGCTGAGCTCCGGGGGCAGGGACGCCTCACAAACACCTCCTGCCCTGGCACAGCTGGAAGAGTCCTTTGGGCACCACGGAGGGAATGTTCCAGTAGGATTAACAGGGCTGGAACGCGGCTCCTGCTCCCTGGCCATTCCCACCCCTGCTCCTTGCACAGATCCCCAAAGTGTCACACACACGTGGCAGCACACACTCAAACACACCTACGGCTGTGGGGAGAACAATGATCTCCATTTATTTTGTTTCATATACATCCATATTTTGAATTTTAATACAAAAGAAAAAAAAATTAGAATCTGACAAATGTTTACAAACAAGATACCTTCAAATAGATTTTACTCAGTTCAGTCTGGTGCAGAGTAAATGACAAATTGTACTGTTTGTTATATTCAAGGCAACAGAGTCTGTAGTCCATGACCACTCAGCCCAACTTTTATGCAAGCTTGTTTTTATCTACCATGAATGATAAACTCCTTGTTGATTCCCAGTCCTGTGTGTGTGCACATGTGTACATAGCAGCTCCTTTCATAGAAAGAAAAGACATCTAGAGGTCTTCTTGTACTTTTACCTACAGGAATCATGTTAAGATACAGAATGGATTACATGGAACCGGGGCTGGATTTTATAAGAAAAAATAATTAGCTGACAAATGAGGGCAGCAATAAAAAAGCGTCTTTTTTGCAACAATAAATAAATACAGTCAAAGTTTTCTGTGTGGACTTTAAACCAGCTTCTTCACTGAAGAACAGACGTGGCATTTCCATGGAGTTAATCGTGACCCCATTTACTGTATCTTTTTTTCTTGCTCTCTTTCTCTCTCTCCTTCAAGAAAACAAAGTTTTCCTGCTTCTGCCACAATAGTACAACAATTTGATCTTGACAAGAAAGTGGTGCTGCTGATTTTTATTTCTTTGTCCTTTGGACAAAATAAGCCAAGAATATTATTTGACTGTTGTGACCAATAAAAACGCAGTTTACATCAAGTCTTGTCAGGATAACCTGACTAAAAACATCTGGCTCCTTAATTAAAAATTGTCAGACAACCAGATCCTTGCTCGTGTGTTTGGTTAACACGCTGAACTCTAAGAAGCTGTAGACTGCAGTTTGTTGTTATGGGACCTGCAGAATACAGAAGAAAGTGAAGAATTAAGCACCCTTCAGTTTGGAGAATACAGTTGCTGCAAGGTGTTGCCAAAAATAAATCACAATGAGGGAATTATCACCACGTTGCTTTCATTTATTTTTTTTTCCCCTTTCAGGAAAAATGGTAATTCTCGCTCTGAATTTTAAGCCCATTTTCTCCTCCAGAATACAAATATTTCAGTACTTGTAAAATGCAGTGTGTCACTGGGATATTCCAAAATGCCTGAAATCAGTTTTACTCACATATTTACATAATAGTAGTCCATCAAAAGGAAAGCAAAAAAACATATTTAGTTGTGAATATTTATAATAAGGTCTACTTTGCTTTAATTTATTCAATAAGTCTTTGGATTAACTTACTAGAAAAAAAAAAACTCAACAGGCATGTTAAAATCACATTTTTGCTAAGCAGAGTTCAGCAAAACTCCTCTTTGACATTCACAGTTTTATTAGTGACTTAAACTAAAACAATAGAATACAAGGTTTCCATGATGAATTCTTCCTTTTTCTCAATACAGTATTTGAGGAAGGGAACAGTTTTTTGTTAATACAGTTATGTTCACCAGTGTGACTGCTGGCAACAAAAGCAACATTTACTTTTTAGACAAATTATCTGGATTTTTAGGGCTGTTTAATGTCATTGGATTGTACAATAAAAGAAAGTGACCCCAACATCCAGTTCTGATTCCAGTTAAAAAGTTCAGACTAAAGATATCACAATCTGCAAGAAAAGAAAGAAGATGGATGGTATAAATGAAAAACAATAACAAATAAGATGTAGCAATGAAATCAGTGTGCAAGCACAGGGAGTGCTGGGGACCCAGCAATGGCAGTGACACAAACATGGGTTGGAAACCACCTGACAAAAATCATTATTACAGTATTGAACTGGACAGAAAAATGCACATCCTTTTTCAGGAATGTCTATGTAAGGAAAATGCTCTACGTCAGCCCTTCTTCAAAAAAATTTGTAAGTTTAATTCTGAAAGGTCAATTTTGAATTATGCTTCATTTTTTGTACCATACTTTAAACTTCACTTACTCCCTGTTTCAAAGGTGGTAAATTATAAAAAGATGAGAGAAGGAGTAACATTGATGTATTTTAATTTCTTTCATTGGATTATAAGCTTCACAGCAGGATTGTCTCTTATTAGCACAAGAAGTATTTACTGCAGAGTAGAACACCAGCACAACTCAGACACAGTATTTGTCCTGGTCAGAAATGATTACGTTTTCTGCAGCAATGAGTTGAAATATCACTCAAATTTTGCAAATTTATGATACCACCCCAATTTTTAACAACCCCTTTTGAATAAATACTCCAAAGCAACCATCACAAAATGACATTTAAGCCTTAATTTTGACTAAATTTTCCAGGAAAGTGCACGGAGCAGCAAATCCCCGTGCAAATGCAAGATAAGCTTCGAAAGGAGATTTCAGGGGTGAACACAACACCTGTGGTTAGGAACACTGCAGCTTACCTGCTTGCCTTAAATCCTTTTAGTTTCTGTACAAAGAAAGACTCGAGAACTTCTGCACACTGGTAGAAAGGGGAGTCACTTGGATTGTAGTAACGGCAGTTATCAAAAATTTTGGTCATGTCTGCCACAAACTCCGTGACCTTTTTGTAGTAGCGTTTTAGGATTCTTTCTTCCATGGTAGCAAGGTCTTTAAAAAAACCAAAGGTTGGTTAAATGAGAGACTTTCAGCCTAAAGAGAAAATCTACATTGTCAAGACTCTGGGAAACAAAGCATTATCCAGGTCAGAGGCTTTTCCAGAAATGCTGGCTGTGACTGGTGACAGCAGCAGGTCTCCCTCAGAAGAGACACTCAGGCATGAATATGTTGTGTGCAGGTAAATTCAATAAAATGCAAGAATCACAAGAATCACCATGACCTGGGCAAACCTGTGCAAGGAGCTCCTTGCTTCTTCTGAAGAAATGAAGGGAAAAGAAGGTCAGAGAATGAGGATCCAAGTACCTTGTGCATGTACCAGCCATCACCTCCTGATTATTTTTTGAAGTCCTGTCTTGCTTTGAATGAGCTATCAATTCTTATGGGAATGTGCACATTACACATGGCACAGATGAAAGATTTCAAGTGCAGGGTCATGCAAAATGCCAGAGCTCTCATCCTTACTGACCAGACACATTAAGGGGACAGGAATGGTGATGCAGTAGTAACTGTCCTATTTTAATGCAAATATCAATTAAAAACAGGGAGAGGAACACAACCTGTGAAATATAAATGTAGCTGTGTAAATGTCTAGTGGCACTTTTAGCCAGAAAAACAACTATCTGCCCTTGGAAAATGCTTCAAGGTGCTTATTTTGAAATACCAGTGATGCCAGAATGTGTGCAAACAACTGCAGATGGGTCTGGATGACCTGGTGTGTTTTACTCAGATTTACTTGTATTACAAATGTCTTCTCCTACTACTTAAATCAGAAAGGGCTAAATGCACTTTTGTTTCCTCCATTAATAATACTGTTACTTGAGTTTTCCTTGTAAACTTTAACCCATCCATCATGGAATAAGAGTTGTTAAGCATTGTCATAAACAGCACAGTCCAAAACTTTGGAACAGGAAAGGATACAATTCCTAAACAAAATATTATTTTTAGTCAACGTACCACAACATTTGCCAAGATACTAAACTGAACTTTCTTATTTCTAGAATGAGTGAGGAGTAGGTGAGAAAGCTCAAATGACACACTGGCTCTCATGCAGAGGTCTGAAAAGGTATTGGTTCAATACTGGAAGGAAAGGAGTAACACTCCCAACACCATTTCTGTCAGGAGGAAGATTTTCCCAGGAGGTTTCACATCCAAGTGCTTATCCAGTTTTAACTGGTGAGCTCTAAGAAGATCAGAGTAAAGCACTGAAAAGCTGCAGCATCTCCCCTTCCACTTTGCCCACATTCACAACATCTGAATCCTTTTTGTTCCTGCAGTTTTAAAGACAAATTACACATAAGACAATACTATACTATCAAGTCAGATGAAGACAATTTTGAACTCCATCTTAAGGTGCATGTCACAATTCCATAGCATCACCTCCTCCTCAGCCTCTGGAGTACATATCCCAACCTTTGGAGGAGAAGCTCATTACAAAGACAGAAAAAAGTTGTCCTCTTTAAATAAAGAAATTTAAAAGCATGAATTCTATCCTATTGCTGCACTGACTTCCACATCCATCTGTGAGACTGGCAGTATTTAGGGTGAAGGAGTCAGCCTAGAAGCAGATAAAACAGCCCTCATGAACTTCTGAATATATCAGTGAGAAATCACAGTGTTTCACCTGCCTAACCTGTTTATGTTGCAAAATATTGTTGGAACTGGTCAGCAGGAAATTAACTTGTTAGTCCAAAGGCCAAACCCACTCACTCAGGCTGTTCTCACCAACACTTACCCATTGGCTCTTTGATGACACCATAATAATCTGGTGCATCGTTGGGATCTACCGGTTCTAGGAATGGCCATGCCATCTTGTGAGCCTGGCAGGGAAACAGGAGAGAATGAAAACATAAAATTAAGTTAAATTAGGCACTACCAATAGGTAAATATTTTCATCCTTTTATCTGTTGGGGTCTGGAGTTGAATTTCAGGAAGAAGTGCAGCATTATATGAAAAAGGAACCAGTTCCCATCTGATGACTGGGTAAAATTTTAAATGTCAGTGACCCAGTAGTTGGGCTTCAAAACAGGAAACTGAAATTCAGACATAACAGGATACTGTGCTGAACAGGCTGCATGGAAAAGAACAGAATGAAATTACTGAGAGTGCTTTCAAGTACCCTGAAATTAATATGCTTTTATAAATGCATGCAAAATACAGGACAATGCAAAATATTACTTAAAGGATTTCTGTTATCATGACTTTAAGAATTTTACCAGAATTCTTAGAAAGTCTTTATAGTTGTAGCAGAAAAAGCCTATTTGTGAGTAACAGACAAACCAGAAATATCAGGCATTATTCTTATTATCAGGATGCCATAATTTACATGCTGATAATGATCCCCTGTGAGAACACTCCTGAAATCTGGTAACACTCAGTTAAGGTATGGAAGTGTGGATCACAACCCACAGAAAACTGATCTGAGAACAGAACACTGCACCTTCCATACCCTGTGCAGTGGGGCTCCCACTCTGCCTTTTGGGATTCTAAATCTGCTTCCTTTAAAAGCCTTTCATTGAAGGAATTGTTTAATTTCACCCACTCAGGAGCAGTGATTTACTAATTATTGTAATTATTCCTCAGCACAGCAACACCAAGCAAGTTTGCAGCTGACACAGTGGCACAGCTTTGCTATTCCCTCAAACCTCAGAGCTAATAAATAAGGAGAAATCACCTTTTCCTCCCAAACCCACTGGGATTTCACACTCCCTGGTGCTGCCACCCTTTGTCCTCACCTGCAAGGAGCGCAGGACCCTCCTCAAGCCTTCATAGTCTTTATCTGTGAGTGGGCTGAGCACAGTCATGGCATCCTCTGTGGACTGGCACTGGGGACACACGTACTCATCAATGAGATCTGCCTCGCTCTGCAGGATGCCCACGCAGCGCCCGTGGTACCAGTTCTGACATCGGTCACAGCCAATGTAAAATCTGCAAGAGCCAAACCAAACGTCAGTGGCTTCATCTATTTCAAGGCCAGGTTGCATTTAAACACATAAACCTGCCATCCCCTGCACACAAGCAGATACTTGGCATGATTAAAAACAACAGGTAACGTCAGATTTCAGTGACAAATTCTACTCCAACTGCTTTTGTATTTACAGACCATTTCAAAACATGTTCCTAAATTTTATACTTTCAAGTAATCAAGATTTCAAAAATAATTCCTCTGCTTTAGAGATGAAAGGAACAGTGTAAAGCCAGAAGCCTCACCCAGCCAGTATTCAAACCAATTCAAGATGCATTTTGCACAAACTGGACTACAACTAGGGCTTGTTTCACTCCATACAAGCTCTTTTCATATGGAAGCTTCAGACTTGTAACTGAATACAGAGGGAATATTCTATGACACAAAGCCTTACAGTAAAACATATATGTAATTCACATATATATAATCATATACCAACCATATACCCCCAAACTAAAATTATATTCTCTAGTCAGATCAGATTAAAGCACAAAAAAATCCACTAAATACAGCATTTGTCTTTTAGTCTTTCTAACCATCCCCTGTTAAATAAAATAATAAAAAAAGAAAATAAATCCCAATTTAAAGTACATGGAGTTTTAGTAGTTTGTTATTAAAAATAAAAACCACAATACATTTTAACCACCCTGAGGGACTTCACTTTTCCTAAACATTTACTAAACAGAAACATTTGGGAAGGGGAGACAGTTACTAGAAAGCAATTTGTATTACGAATGAATACAATATATGCAGAATAACTCGTTTTTACTCTTTGCAAGGAACAGGAAAGCACAGTCAGAGCAGTTTTGCTACCTAGACATGGAATAAGAGGTTCTTATCCGAACTCACTGCGACTCATCATAAGGTGTTCTGCAGATACAGTACAACTCCTCACTGCTGCCCTCTTGTGCCCGTTTACACTCATTACAGATGTACACATCCATTTTCTTAGCCTCCTTTTCTGTGATTCCAACACATTCTCCATGATACCAGTTAGTACAAAGATCACAGCCAATATAGAACCTAAAAGTGTTCACAATGAAAATGACAATGTAATTGTCATTTCAAATGGCATGGCACTTTTCCCTGCATTTCTCTCTGATGCACTTGATGCTGGGCTACTTTGTGTCTCAGCTTTTCTGCTCCCTATCCTTACAAACTAACATCTCATGCTGCAGCTAGACTGGCAGTAAGGTCACTTGGGTCAATTTTAATTTGACAATTCACCAAAATGCACATGTATTAATATGTACATATTAATATGTAACCATATATGGGCTAAAAATCTACTGACTTCAATGTGAGTGTGAAAAACTGTCAAAGGCACAAAAAGACAAGGCCAAAGGAAAAGGTTTACATTTTCAAAATTGCAGCTCAAAAGCCACTGAAACATTTCCTTAAGGTTTGAAAATGTAGGTCTCAGTTAATTTAAAAAAACAAAAGCAAAGCGCAAACACCAACTAGAAGTTACGAGTACACTACAAGAACATGCAACCAGCAGTGTGTAGGTACATCTTGGTGTAACATGATACAAAAGAAAATGGGGTCAGAGCATGATTGTCAATTTTAAATCTTGGTGGTTTTTTTTTTTTGGGCGGGGGGGAGCTGTGCACTGAAAAACTGATAATAAACTACTTAAAACTAACAAAGTGGAATTTTGAGTGAATAATGTCTCCTCTCAGACACAGCTGTGTGACAGAACCAGGTATGGTATGACACAAAGTGAAGGGAACCAGGGACAGAATCATGGGGATGGGACCTTGCACAGAATGATGTGACAAAAGTGTAAAATATTATGCCAGGATGTTTGTAACTCGTGTATGGACCCCTCAGAACACACCTATGAACCAGTGACAACCAGATGGGCGACGCTCACATCCATTCTCTCTGCCTAAGCAAAAGCAAGCGGACTCAGAACCTCCATCCCTCTGGATTTTGGAGACCTCAACCCCCTGTCAAGTGCTGCTGTAGCAATTCCTGCCACCCTGTCAGCCTGCAGGCAGCACCCTGGGGACACCACAGCACCAACAGGGCAGTAGCTATCCCATGTTCCACAGGAAGCACCTCTGATTTCCTGGGCCTCTGCACACATCCTGGACACTCAGACCCTACTTTTTCTCCTGTTTTTCCTAAAGGAAGTATCACACAACCCAATTTCCATAAAGAATGGCTAGACATAGATTGTGACAACTAGCAGCAACTCAGCCTGTGCCCCTTCCCAAGAGGGGCTGTGTCTGCTCCTGGTCATGTGGGAGCACATTTGCATCAGGTGTAGATGCTAAACCTTACCACTGCAACGTGGAGCAGGTGCCACATTATGATTTAACAAATAAGTTGGAATCTAAGTAGGAATCTTAGAAAGATATCCTTACTGACCATCCTTGAAAACAGTATCAGCAAATCCCTATAATCCTGGAGTATCACGAATGGGAGCTAAACACAAGAGATTTGCAATAAAATACACAGCACAAAACAACTTACAAGGTTTTACTAAATCAAAGAAAATACACAGGGTATTCATAAAATACCACAACTTGGCTTTTCAAGTAGCACACCTATCTTTTCTGAAGTAGAAAAGAGACACCAGCACAAAGAGGACGATCCAATACCTACAGATATATGAAAAAATTTTTACAAAAATTCTCAGAAAACTGTTTTAAAGCCTGACTAATTCCTTTCCAAACAGTGAAAGGATTATGTACTTCAACAATACAGACATCACTTGTAGGAACATAAAATTTAAAATTCACAAAAACCAAAGCAGCAGTGCTCAATCATATTGCTAAGGATACTACTGAGTCACTAACATTTCATTTTCTTAAAATTTTTCTCAGTGCACTGAAGCACAGTTCTCAGTTCAAATTACCAAATTCACTCCATGACCACTGGAGTCAACACAAAGTCTGACAAACAAAATCCCTTTGCTCACTCACTAAGTCCAGATGCAGTAGCACACAGACCTCTGGTATCACAACCAGAGAACAGGGTCCCTCCTAGGTACACTGGGTGACCTAAAACCTGACAGACACAAAGTTAAGTGAGGCTGGGGACACTCCTCAGAGGTGACAGTGACGTAACAGCCAGAGCATCATTCTGCTCCTCCTGCAGCACTGGCAGTCCAGGGAACAGCCCCACTTCCCACACTGAAGTCATAGTGCAATGGTCAGAGCTACTCAAAACCAAGGTGAAAAAAACTTCAAATATCTCAGCTTTGTTAAAAGGCATAATTAAAACCCCCAAAAGGCTAGAAGGAACCTCAAGAGGTCCCCTAGTCCTGGCCCTAAACCTGGAATAAAGAACCATGACCCATGGAGTGAATGCATCACTCTGGATCTATGGTTTCCCTGTTACCAGCCCTTAAAGCCCCATCAAACGGTACCAGCTCATACTTCTGGGTTTTGCCACTTGGAATTGGTCTGAAGTCAAACTTATCATACATACACCTCTACACAGCTGTCAGATGTTAACCATTGCTAACTACTGCTGTTAGTCACCTCTAGCTTCAACAGCAACATGTAACACTATCCCCTGGAACCCACTGGATTCTCCACTCCAGCACTTACACCATTTCTTCACAAGTGCTGTATGTAGAGTAAATACTTATCCTCATTCAGAGTCAGAGTCAAGCTACAGAGAACTGCAGTTTTCACTTTGTCAGATGCTTAAATATTTATTTTTATCAACCCTAGCATGTAAATAATAATGTGTGGAAACCATTTCTCCCTGAAACATTGTCCAAAGTGAACTGCAGTCCAGTGACTCAGAGCCCCCTTTACTGGGTACTGCCTTGCAAAAAAAGGTCATTTATTGGAAGACGGTACCAAAGCTAGTTCTCAAGAACATCAGCTACTTCTTCACAAGAAATTGCTCAAACCAAATTGTCACTTGCTTCTGAGGCAGAGGCAAAACAGCAAAAGAAAGAGTAACAGAGCGGAGGGAAAAACAGAAAAGAGTATGTGCATGTGAGACAGGAAGGTCACACAATGGAGACATGCAAACGAGTACACTATAAACCACGCACAGTAACAGTATCGATCGAGTATGTTAATATTTGTAACTGCTAGTGGAAAACAGAGACTTTATCTCTAACCTCAGTGATCCCTGCAATAACCTGCCACTAGCTCCACTTCTAGCACTGCCTGGTGCTAAGAGCTGACACTAAACCTACAGCTAAGGACATGCAGGAGGGGCTGTGGCATCGCTACTCACTTGGACTCGTCGTAAGGCGTTTTACAGATGCAGTAAAGCTTTGTGTCCTTCTTCGTTTCCTTTGAGGTAGTAGAAATCATTTTCTTTTTCTTGGACTTGGAAGCTGAGGAATCTTTCTCCTCCTCTCGTTTCCTCTTCTGGGAGGAGACTGGCACGGGGACAGTGGTGGAGGAGGAGGAGGTGACGCTGGCTGCTGGCAGCTGTGGCGGTGCTGGTGGCACTGGTGGCGGTGGTGGCGGGGCGGCGGCGGCGGCCGCGGCGGCTGCGGCTGCTGCAGCAGCAGCTGCTGCCTGGGCTCTTTCTTTTTCTTTCTTAATTTTACTCAAGTCTTTCTTTAGCTCCTCCTGAAGTGTATTAAATGAATAAATAGAAGGACTTCATATGATTGTTGCACGACAGGGTTAAAATCTAGGCAAAAATCCCCAATCTCAACCAAAAGAAAACAATTAAATCCATTTAAAGATGCATTTGTTTTCATGTTCTGAACCTACAATTCACATAATATTAAGGGATGACACTCTTGGGCTACAACGGCCCACTGGCTATAACTTATCAGAAGCTGTTTCATGAAAGAAGGTAATTTCAGTCCAGAAAAAAAAACCAAGAGGCCCTCAAAGGACATATAAATAGCTTTGGAGAAATCTACAACCACAGCTTCTTCCTGTAAATTTCCTTAAAACCTCACTGAGCAAACAAAGATTAACACAGAAATGTTCTCTAACATCAAATTAGCCTTTGAAACTCTGTCTTTACCTGCACTTCAATCTGTAGATCTTTGTCCAGAAGTGCTCTTTTTTTCAGTATTTCAGCTTTCAGCTGCTCTTTGTGCTTGAAAAGCAGAGCTGAGAGCTTGGTCGCGTTCTGTTTGCTCCGCTTCTGCTCCACGCTCTCTTCTCGCTTCCGTTTCTTAGCTGCCTGTTTTTCTTCTTTGTCTATCTTATCCAGAATATATTTCATCACTTGGTTGCACACAATCATTCTGGGGAAGAAATAAAGGAAAAGGACATTGTGCTGAGCTGCCTGTTTATTCAGAATAATGCAGAATCAATTCTCCAGTCGCTGCAAGCTCATTATTGTATTTCCTAAGATGTACAAGGTAAATTTAGCAACACCCTGTGCTTCCACTCCTGCTTATTTACTAGAGCACTGCTGGGAGAGATCAAGTCCCTTGTTAGGCTCAAGAGGGCCAGTCCCAATTTCACTTAAATGATCTGAGTACTAATTGTTCCTCCCCTCCCCCATCCGACTCCCAACAAAGCTTTAGTAGGATGAGAGAGGTTTTCACTCAATTCAGTTTCCACAATTTGTTTGAAAGAGCTGGATTTTTATTCTGATGTAGGATAAAAGCGAGTTGGAAGCCTGCAACTTCTTCAAAACCAAACATTTCTATGCACTGGTGACCACGAAATACTACCAAGATTTTGTGTTTTGGCATAAGGACTGACAAACACTTTTCACTGTATAGAATTCACTATAAACAGTTCCCAATTTCTCCACTAATGACAGCTCAAGATTAGGTTTTTTTTCTGCTTTTTGTACCTTAAACTATAAATCTATTTTATTGCTCACTTGTTTTGCACCTTTCATTTATTCTGCTTTATATTTCAATTAGAAAATGAATGTATTTAGGTTCTTCTGAATTTACTTTTCCCTTCTCCATTCTTTTCCAAAACCATTAGAAAACCAAATGCTTCTCGTTGCCAGAGTGACCATGAAAAACAACTCCCACTGAGCTGAGAGGAAAAGCAGAATTGCAATGGCCAGGACAAGCAGCTGCTGGCAACTGTGGCCTCAGACATTTTGACAGACAGCTGGATTTTGATGACAAATGGAATATGTAGATAAATATAATTTTGTTTCGTTTTCTCTTTATACCTGCACTGTATCTACTTGGTTTAGTCTGTTTTCTTCACAGACTAAAGGTCCCCACATTGTATTTTTGAAGAAGAATAAATCAGTGAGATGGTAAGGCAGCTGCACCACCAACCAAGCTCGTTAGAACTATTTTTTTCATCTTTCTCTTAAATTGGACTTTTTTTCAGTCAAAACACCTATTTGGCTGTCTGACACCACGAAATGAAGAGCATATCCAATACATCTTTTTCCTTATAAAACTGTGAACAGTAAAGGAGTGGCACCCAGGGATAATGTTGTAATCAACTGAGCTTGTGATTTGATGATCAGAATTTTATAGAACATATTCTTCTTTTTCTTAGTACCTGACACACACTTGTGATTATCTAATTGGAGCAACTGTATGTGTGAAAAGGAGTCAAAATAATCCCAAGACAAATGACAAACACTCCAAACTTCTGTTTAGAAGCTTCAAGCATAAAATCTCTCAGTTTGACAATCTGTCTTCCAACTCTTCAGCTCCTTCTGTAGAGTGGGATGTGCAGGGACAAGAATGGAAACACATGGCCATGATAAAGGACAAACAAAACCCAGGCTTTTTTTTTTTTTTTTTTTTGCAGCAGAAGCATTAATTCTTCATTCTGTATTCCTTTACCTGAACTTAAAATCTTTGGCCATCTTCAAACACAATATGGAACATTACTTAAAAAAACATATTATCAAAATAAAATTGAGATTATGCAAGATGCAATAAAGATAATTATGAAAGTCACTTTTAAGAGTTACTCTAACGAATTTTAAATAGCAACACTTATTTAAGCAGGTTTTGACAGACCAGCATTTCATTATAATACCATTAAATGATGTAATAAATGAAAAAATTGACATCTATGAATGCACTATCTATTGACATCTATGTGATGCACATTCACCTCTGATTTTCTTCCCTCTCAGCTGGAGTCAGTGTCTTCTTCTGTTTCAAATGTTCTATGACAGCATTCTGCTTCATAACCACCTGCAGGATGATACAGAATCAAAATAAAAGATGAAAACTTAGCTAAGATTTCACAGTATTATGGGCAGAACCAGAACATTTCCTAAGTTACAGTGTAATTTATTTCACCGAGTGACAAAATAAGGTTGATTTTATCAGGGGAGCAGAGCTTATTGAAAACAATTATTTGAAAATTGAAAAAGAACACCACCATCCCCAGAGTAGGATATTTTGCTTATGTCAAGTTTGAACCCAGGGAGTAAATATAAATTGGCTGTATTTCCTCAGTTGTTTTATTTTAAAAGTGTTAATTATATATTTTTTAAGCCCCGCAGCCATCCAACAGCATCACATTTCAGATACCTCTTTGGAACCTCAGTTTTCAGGTAATGAAAGTACTGCACGTGTGTTCTGTCCATCAGCTCTCCTAGATCTCACCTATCTTTCCTGAATTGAGAATAGAGATGGATTTGTCCCAGCAGCTAATGGTAAACTGAATCAAGGTGACAGAAGAATGCAAACATGGTACAAGTGACTTGATGTGCAGAATTAACTTGGAACATGTCATTAAATTGCCAATAGAAATCGTGCACTATCTTTGAAAGAAACAAATTAACTGCCTATCAAATGTATTAACATTGTTAACAAGAACAGGCATTTCAAATTAGATTTCTTTCATTCATTAGGTGTTAATTTCCTTCTGTTAACTTTACCTGTTTCTGGATAATGTCACTTTGATTAGAAGCCTGAAGGATGTGCTCACGTTTAATTTCTATCTGTTGCTGCTTTTTCTTCTGCTGCTGCTCCCTGAGCTGCTGAACTCTGTGCAGCTGCTCCTGCACACTAGCTGCTTGCACTGTCACCACACTGGCCACCTGCTGAGCCTGTGCTGGGCTACTGTGCTGGACCTCAAGAGGTAACTGAAGCTTGATGTGGGGCACGCTGCCCTGCTGGGCTCGTATCTGAGCCACAACACACGGCTGCAGCCAAGACAGGACTTCCACTTGCTGCTGGAGCTGAGGCACTGCTGTAACACTTGTTGGAGGCAGCTGAGGATGAGCTAGGCACTGCAGAGGAACCTGATTTAAAGTTTGAGTACTTGCAAGGGTGGAGCCCAAGGTCTGAACCTGAGGCTGCGATTGCTGCAGCAGAGCTGGAATTTGTATGGGAGCGTGGGGCCACATTGGACTGGGTTGTCGGGTTGGAGTTTGCACCTGAGCTGGATGCTGAGCCTGGGCCTGGCCTGGGGGCAGGCCCGCGGGCGGCGGCTGCATCGGGCCGGGCGCTGGAGAGAGTCCCGGAGCCTGCACTGGAGACTGAGCCGGAGATTTGGAGGGCTGAGCTTCGGGAGGGGCCGCGGAGTCGCCGGCAGCCTCGGGCTGGCTCGGGGCCTCGGGCTGGGCGCCCTGGGGCTGAGCCCCCGCGGGCTGAGCCGCGGGCTGGCCCTGGGGCTGGCCCTGCCCCGCGGGCACGGCCGATGCTGGAGGCGCCTGCAGAGCCGGCTTCGCTTCCCCAGCAGCTGTGAACACACAAATGAGGAGTCCATTAACTGCAAATGTCCACTGAACTGCTCATAGCAGCGCTATGAGTCTACAACCCAAACCCTCTGAACTACTGCAAAGCTCTGTGAAGGAACTCAACAGACTCTGCAATACACTTCCAACAAATTTACTCCACTAACAGACAACCTCCAGCTGCATAAATACTCCTATGCTATTGAAATGGAAGCTTTTTTCCTGCTGAACAGAACAATGCTTACCCGAGGTTGAAGTAGAAACGGTGGTTGTAGTTGTGCTAGCTGTAGTAGCAGCTGCTGGTAGTGGGGTGAACAGAAATCTCTGAATTGTACCATTTGGCATAGCTGCTTGCATAAGCTGCTGTCCTGGACCAGGTATTACAGTCACACCCTGAGGGATTAATTGTAACTGACCAGTAGTTTGACCTTGTCCCTGAATTACCACAGTTAAGCCTTGACTGCCACCCTAAAAAAAAGTTAATATTGATGTATTAGTGATATAATTCTCAGACAGACTTTGCAGAAAATTAGAACAATTAGGGGTTTGGATTCCAGAATTCAGTACTTTTATCACATACCATACTCCTAAAATCCAAAACTAGCATCTGAGATCATGAAATACTCAAGGACTCTCTCAACAATTCTATCATCAACAGACTAGGCTGGAGTTACACATTTTGTGAACCCACGGAACACAACACAACAACTCTGAATCTTTGATGTAGAAACTCTTTAGAATCACAGAATGGTTTAGGCTGGGAGGGACCTTAAAGTTCATCCAAATCCACCCACAGCTTCCACTACCCCAGGTTGCTCCAAGCCCCCTCCAACCTGGCCTTGGACACTTCCAGGGATGGGGCAGCCACAGCTTCTCTGGCCAAACTGTGCCAGAGCCTCCCCAACCTCAAAAGGAAGAATTTCCTCCCAATATCTAATCTAAACCTACCCTCCCCTTTAGTGTAAACTCCAAGTCTTGTTCCACCAAAAAAAAAAAACTTATCTGGCAATAAGCAGTCTGTACATTGTAATCATTTATATGTATTATTTATATCTATTTATTTACAGATATTGTGGTAAATCACAGAAATTTTTTTTTACCCAAAAACTGACTCTAAACTTATTTTTTACCAACAGACCTTCATTATCTGAGCAGAAGTTTTAGAACTTTTTCCTCCTCTGCTCACAGATACTGCATTTTTTCCTCTGAGATGCTGGATAGCATGAATGAAAACTAAATCTTCACATCAAATCAAAAGACAAGTAATCAAAATTATGATCTGAATGTCTACAAAGCAGGCTATACAGAATAATTATGTCCCTTATTGCTATTAAATATTTTTTTCCATGCTGCTGAACACTCCTGATGCCAGTTACTTACAGGGAAATACAACAGGAAGCAAGAGTTAAAACTTTACTATTAAAACTACTTACTTTGTATTTATTTATTATATCTATTTACTATTTAAGCTGCTTTAAGTCTGTAATTATGCCAGTGCTCATCCTAAATAAAGCCAGACACATAAATTTAAGGGCACAGGCACTGCTGAAATGCAAAGGCTGTTAGCACATTTCCACCCGGGGCTGTCCAGTGCTTTACCTGCCCTTGTGTGAGCTGGGTGAGCTGGGCCATTGTCAGCTTCACCTGGCCCTGCTGGGGGCGAGGGGACGGTGCTGGGGTCTGTGGCTGAACTTGTTGAGGAGGAGTTCCAGAACTTGTGATGGTTTTCTGCCCAGTGCTGGAAGAAGCTGTGCTGGTACTAGAAATTGCTGTTGAGACAGGCTGACCCCTGATTATCTGAGTCACCACTTGCTGTGTCTGACCTGTAAGAGAAGAATTTGAGCTAAGAAACAAGTTTTCAGCTTTTTAACCATAAGCACAGCAAACCTCCAAGTCACAAATTGCAATGGGGTGTGATGGTGATCAGACAGGTGAAGCAAACACTGCAGTTTGCACATTAAGTTTTCTTTACAAACCATTGGTACGATTGAAAAAGGTCTGCAAAATGTTTCCTATTTTAACTAAGGTTGCATGCATATGGAGCACTTCAAACACTGAGCTTCTCTTTAAGAAAAAAACACACAAAAGAAGGCTTTGCACAATTACTCTATATGTTTTTAGGGGGTTTTAAGTCTTGGTTTTTTTTTCCCAAATGAATGGACTTAAGTACTACATTTCCCAGTGTCAGTGATGAATAACATTGACAAAGCCTCCAACAAACACATCCAAAAGCTGAAAAAGGCATTAGTCAAGCATTAAAACAAGGGATTTTTGCGTTGGGACACAATGACACACAAGGAATTCATGAAGAAACAAACCACGGATTTCACATTGGGAATTGAAATATTAAAGTGAACCTACTGGCTGGCAGAATACCTTGCTGCACCACTACAGGTGTTCGAATGATGGTCTTGCCAAGGGTGGATTGCTGCAGGGGTGTCCGGATCACCGTCATCCCGGGGCGCAGCGGTGTCCCCTGCACTACCTGTGCACACCAAACAGAGACCACCTGTCAGCTTGGGCAAAAAGCCCCTAAAATATGCCCTCAATGTTTTTCTGCACGTGTTTTAATTTTCCCAACTGGAGGGAAGTGTTGTACCTCTTTGGAATAAAGGATCCATACACACCATTGCTGAGACGAGTCAAAAAACATTGAAAAGGGATTAGCCAGAACTTTTAATATCTGCCAATAACTTCAAGTCTATGCACCCATATTTTTTTGAGTTAAATAACCAGAAAAACATCTTACTTGTGAAGTGCTTGTTGTTCCTAACGTTCCTGTGGTGTTTGGCCTAATGGTTACAGTTGCTGTCCTTGGCTGGAATGAAGTAAAGGTTTGACTTGCACCTGTAGTTGATGGAATGATACCCAATACCTTTTGCTGAACTTGAACCACACCTAATTAAAGAAAAATTGAGAATTCATTAATGACACAATGGCCAGCAAAAGAAGTAAATGCAACTCCAGGATGGCATTTAGAACTCAAGTCTCCAGGATTCTAGAATACCTTTGAGTCTTTCAACATTTCTTGGGAAAGCCTTTGTCATATTATAAAAAGAAGCAGCATTATTCTTTGTCAATAGTCCAACTACATTTTAAGTTAAGAAACAGATATTTTAGAAAAGATTAAGGAAAGTGTGAATCTTCACAAAGATCAGTTTGATGATAACTGCAAAGAAGTCCCTGCACTGACAGGGTGCCACAGATTAGTGTTAAACAACCATTAAAAGCTATAATCTGATTAATTTCAAATGTAGGAGAGCAGTTTAAACACCTTTCACCTACAACACTGTGATGCTGAAGAAAATGGGCAATGCTTCTCCTGTCACCTAAGGAATTTCAATACAAAATCTGCAGTCTTCAGAATGTTCTCAGATGCTAAATATGGAGACAGAGAATTGAGCTTTTCTGTTCAATACAGATTCACAAATCTCAAAATATTAAGTCCTCTTCTTGAGGCAAGAATCAAAAATGCTAATCTTAGTCCGGATCCAAACTCCTGCTCCTCAGTGAAGAGCAGCTGTAGGCATTAATATTTTTGTGAAGAAAGCTGCTTTGTTGATTTTAGATAACAACAAAAAAAAAAGCATGCTTCATTCCACATTGCTCAAAATAAAGCTAATTTTGTGCTAGGAAATGCAGAATAATTTATAGGCAAAAAACTTGCATTTTTCCCCTTACAGACACAAATATGCAACACAGGGGGAACAAGCTGTAGACACTTGTATTTATATATATATATAATATTTTTCCCCCTTCACGTCACAGTTTACTTCACCAGGAAAATAGTGTCAAAGGAGAATTAAGCAGCAAGCTGGAATACAGTTTTTATTCAGTTCCCTTTGCCCTACCTCCTTGAGTTGATGGCACATTGACGGCAACAATCTTGCTGTTTGCAGGGAGTGGCAGCTTAGTTATCACTTTCCCTGCCATCGTTACTGGGCTGCCTGAGAGCTGGAAGGTCTGCCCTGTGCTGGCAATGGTTGTGGCTGAGGTGGCAGCTGTGCTAGTGGCTATTGAGGCACACAGAACAGGCAGGTTTAGAGCAGAATAATTAGTCAATGAAATGACTGTTTTTCAAGCATGAAACAGCAAACTACAGGATTATTTTTACTTTTTTTTTTTTTTTAATGTGTCATGCTTTCTTTGGTAAAGGTTCTTTTTTGGAAACAGTATGTTACACCACAGAATGCTTTCATGAATGATTACTAGTACAAAAACTGTCAGTAATGAATGAGACAGGTCAGAAATGAGACTTCCTAGCAAGTCAGAACAAGGAAAAACTAGACAGGTATAATCTCAGAAATGTCCTTCTGGCATAGCAAGAGTTAAGAGCACAGATAACCAGAAATGTAATAATGCTGCATATCAGGAGAAGATGTGATGTGTGTATAGGATGTGATGCATACACAGGCTGAGCTCCAGCAATGTTCCTTCCATGACAAATGACTCCTTACCTGTTGAAGACTGGCCTTGCTTAACCCAAGTAGCAAAAGTTTGATGGAAATTCTTGTTCTGTTGGAATGTTACTGTAGCTGGGGACCCCACTTTAGTGGTGAGCACTACTTTGGTTCCTGTGGGGACAGGGCCTGTCAGAGGGCCCACCACGACTTTCTGTGGTGTGGACACTGTGGTTGCAGTGCTGCTGGCTGTGGTGGCTGCAGGGACCACACCTCCTGCAGGGATCTGCTTCTGCTGTTCCAGCCGTTTCTATTTAGAAAAAAAAAAAAAACATGGAATAAAGAGACAATTAGTATTGTCAGATTTTACACCAAAAATGTTGTCTCTACCCAGTATTGAGAGATAAAGGCCTGTGGTAGGATTTTAGCTCAAATTGTAGAGGATTGAAAAACAGGCTCCTTGACCTCCAGAACTACAAATCTGCTTAGGATAAGCAGCCAGGAATTTTCCTTTATAGCAACTTTAAAATCCTTTGCTTATGTTTATTTCACTGCACATTTTACTTTAAAAAAAACCCGCCCAGTTTAATTTGTCTCAGATTAATCAGAAAGACTTAAAAACTTCAAAAAATATCCATTTATATTTGGCTTCGACCATGTGCATGCATCTATGTCAGTAATTGGTACATCATCATCAACACAGAGTTTACTATTAGTATTCCTAAATTTAGAGCTTCCTGCACTGAAATCCTGCCAGTTACAGAAAAAAAACAGACTGTATCATTCTGTTTCACCACTGAGAATGCAGTTTAAAAAAATAGTCTTTTAAATGTAAATCCAGTTTGCAGCCTGTTTAAAAAAAATTAGGTTCAAAATCCCTTACCTTACCCAGTGACCTTCTGTGCTGTAACTGTTGAAAAAGCATATTTAATCTAGAGAGCCCCTAAGTGAAGGGATGTATCAGCAGGCTCTTCTAAAATGTCAACTAATCTAACATTTTTCCCATGTTACTGGAATTATCTCTGTATTTATCTAATTTAAATTTCAGCACTATATTGCAGTAATGCCCACAAATCAGAAGCACTTGTTCACTACTAATGGGTTTTTGTCAGGGAAGATGTAATGAAAAAGGAATAAATTAAGAAAAAGCACAGTTCTTAATAATGTATGTGAAATACCAACATGACATCGGGTTTCCTAACGTTAATTGCATACATTTAAACATAAATACATATACATATCTACATATATTTAAATAAAATTATCAATGGGCTTAACTCAGATAAAATAAAAATATTCAATTTGTGTGAAGCATGAAATGCAGCTGTATTCCCAAATCAGTTGTATTCCAAGGCAGCTTTCCACCACACACAGAACACTGAGAACCTTACCTGGACATGGGTGCTTCCCAGCCTTCTTTAAAATGGAAACAAACTAAACCTTTCTAAAATGCCATAAATGATGTGGGGGGAAAAACAGGCAATCCAGAACAAACCTTTGCTTTAACCCTGTTTCAAAATAACAAATGTATACACTGGCAGCAGCATTGTTTGATGGCTTAATCTGCAGTTTAAGAAATGGTGTAAGCAAGGGATAACTTCATTTCCCAGGCTGTGATGCATGTGCTGAGCAGTGCAGTTGCTGACTGCTGGGATGACCAACAGCTCCCCACCTGCTGGGCAGCCAAACGTTGGTGTTTTAGCTGAGCCTCCAATTGGGCCTTGAACTCCTCTGCCTTCTTCTGTTCACTAACCTTAGCCTGTTGTTCAACTGCCTGTGCCTTTTCCTTCTCCACCCTGCCAAAGACACAACCAAAAGTAAGTTATAGCACCACATAAAATCCAACCATCAAAATGCATTTTGTTTTATCCAGTTTAGCTGCCCTCGTAAGAGCAACCATAGAGACAGATCACTGAAAAACTGGTCATGACTTTAAAAATATTTCAAAATAAACTACTAAAGTTGCATGCAACATCCCTGAAATATTCTCATGCTACCCTACTGCAACACCTTACAGGAAACTATTAATCAAGACTGGAATTTATAATTACATCTGAGACTGCAAGGAACCCATCTAATAACATACATTTAAAATTATTCTTTCCAAGAGACACAAAAATGTTGTTCCAGCTGTAAGCACATGATACTGAAAATATGCATCTTATAACTTGAGTATTCTCAGGCTCAATTTACTTGTACACAGTCAATAGAGAAGTATTTAACAAATACTGCACAAAGTAATGCTAAGAGCAGCCTACAGTCTTTCCATGCATTACACTAATAACCTTCTAGCATTTAACAGTGGTTAGTTCATAAGCATGGAAAAATTAACATAATATTAGTTCTAACAAATCTGAAATATCTGCATTCCTTAGTTTTGGTACCAGCAAATAGTTCAGCTTTGTAACTTTAAGCTTGACTATCAGTATCAAGAGGCCCAGTAAAAATAAAATACAACACAGATATGTTTCTAGTGATCACAGTGACCAGGTTCGTGTTCTCTAGGGGAACTTTTATTTAACAATCACACAAATGAAGACTGCTTTCTTTTAAAGCTGACTTTACCTTTCAGCAAATGCCCTGATCTCCCACAGTTCCAACTCCTCCTCTGCTACCCAAGTTTCCATTATAACAGGGCCTGTTTGCTTGGGTGTTTCTGGCCTTTTTGGCCTGAGGGCACTTGATCGCAGTCCCTTCCTCTGGGGTGTTGGAGTTTCTTTAGAGAACAGACAAAACACACATATTAAGCTATACTGTAAAACGATATTGAAGTGTAAACCAAGATTTAGTGATGTTTTCAGCTCCATTTTATAAACAGGGAGGCCTTTCAGCTTCAGGTAAATCATGTCCATTTGTTAAATGCAACATTTGTTTCCCTAGGTAAATTAATAGTTCATGGTAAGCTGCATTTGCTCCCTTGATGGGCTGAATTAGCATAAAGATCCAGTTACCTTAAATTCTCTAAATTACAGGGGGGCAAGAGGGGGAAAATATCTAAGCAAACCAACCAACCAACCTTTTGGAGCCTCTGGTACACCAATGGGACAAATGATTTTTCTTATGCAGTATTCTGACCGGATCCCATACGGACCAACATCTCTCCGCTTGATTATTTCTGTTGTTGTAATTTCAGTTTCAGTTGTTTCTGCAACAAATTAGTCCCAGTACATTAATAACAGAAACAAATAAAGCTAAATCTCCAATCAACCCAATATACTCAAGGCAAAGAAACAGCAAACAAAATTCAAATGCCACAGCTGCCAGCGAGCCTTTAGAGAAATGTTTTGAGGGAGTGTAATGCTCAGAATTTACATCAAAAGCTTTTGCAAAGAAAACTAGAAATTTAAAATAACAATACCTGTCCTTGTGGTTCCTCCCCCAGGTGGAGCTTTTGCTGCCATATCATCCCACTTGAGACATGCCCACAATAACCTCAACATCAGGCTCACTCCAGCCAATGATTTGACTGTTTGGAGTCGGTACCTAATGACAGAATATCAATTATACTTTAAAATAAATTTTAAATACCCAGTTAAACCAACAGGACAAAGATTTTCAATCCTACTTTTACTGAACAATACAAAAAACTGAATAATAAATAGCAAAATTTGCATATTTGGGAAAAAACATCGTGTTTTAAGAATCAATTAATTTCATTACATCCTAGACTTTTTCTCAAAAAATATAAAGTACGTACCTCCAAGTGATCCCAAAAGTTGGTCTTGGGGATGGATATGGCCAGATATCCAAGGCAGGCTTTGCATTGTAATTGAAATAAGGAACCTCTCTGATTCCTCCTCTCCTGGCCAGCTTTTTTAAGTCATCATTGGGTAAAACAAATATGCTTTTTTTACTGCTTTTGGTGACAAATTTCCTATAAGATGGCAAGGCAGTTCCAGAACGAGTTTTTTTGGGTCTCGTGAATTTCATTAACTTCACTTTGTCTTTTGTGGAATATTCTTTGCTGACAGTCATGGAAGTCACCAATGTGCCTTCTGGGGTGGTCAGTGAATCGGTGACTGTTGTTGTAACCACTGTTTTACTGTGCTCCTGGACTGAGATGACATCAGAGTGACTGTCTGTGGCTGGAGTGCTGAGCTTGGTCACAGTGGTGGTGGTGGTGACAGTGGAGATGGCACAGTTTTCTGTAGAGGAAACAACTGTGGTTTTCTCACTGCTGGCAGCTCCAGTCTCTGCGACCTTGAACACCGTTTTGGACTCTGTGGACACAGTTGAGGTTGTGGTGGTCACTTCAGTAATAACAGTTTTTATTTTACTTTCTCCATTAATATTTTCCATTTTATATGTCTGTTCCCCATTCTGGTCAGCAAAGTGACTGCTCAAGCTGGATTCCTCACATGAGGTTACAGGTGAAGGAGCAACTTTCTTCTCCTCAATTGCTTCAGTTTCCATAGATTCTGTCTCATTGTTCAGGTTATTTTCTTTACAGACAGGCTGTGTTGGTGGGGAAGCAGAGCCAACACTGGCAGATCTCTCAGGAGAAAGCTGATTTTCTTCAGTTTTCTGCACATACTTGGGAACTTCATCTGGTGGCTGAAGACTCTCTCCAGACTCAGGTGAACTCTGCAGACGTGACTTTGAGTCCACTTTATTTTTATCCTTTGTGTCCTCTCCCATGATGTCACCATTCATGAATGGTTTTACTGAAGATTCCTTAAAAGTCAATGGTTTTATTTCATGTTCTGGAAAGGGTTTATTAATATTATTAACTTTTGGTTCGATATCACCCCCTGCCTTAGCTTCACAGGTATTTTTCACTAAGCAATCATCATTTGATAATGCTTTAATGTCATTGTCTTTTCCATTCATTTGAAATGATGATTTTTCTTTTTCTGTCTCAGTTTCTTCATCTTTATTATTCTTTTTGTCAGTAACAGTATTTACATTTGTCTGATCAAGATATTTGTTCATGGCACCTGTCTCCACTTTCAGTTCCTGACCTTTCTTTTGACCATTGGCCTCTGTTAGTTTAGAGCTCAGTAAATCCTCATTATCATCTTCCCCATCCATATGGTCCATAGTTTGACTTTCAAGGTCTCTTTCAGTAATCAGCCCTGTTTTAAGTGATTCTAGATCTTTATTAGCTGATTTTTGGTGAAATATCATCTTTTCAGATTTACTTTCAGTCTTTACAGGAGCAATTTCTTCTTCCATTTCACTTTCTTGAGAGGACATAGTTTCCATATGGCTTTTTGTCACACAATTGTTTTCTGAATCTTTGCTTTGTTTTTCAGAATTCCCTTCTGAGTCTGGTTTTTCTAGAGTGGCCACAGCATCTCTTCTGCAGCTGCTTTCAGGTACCACTGGCCCTAAGTTTTCAAGTTCTCGCTGAGACACTCTGGTAATAGGTAGCTTTTGTTTCAAGGTTTTTTCATTTGTTTCTGAAACATCCCATTTGATTCTGCCATCTGCACTAGTTTGTTTCAAACCATCCACTACAGAGCTCTCAGACTCTCCAAGAGCCTCTTGTCCTTGACACTGACCAGCAGTCGAAGCTTCAGGGTTGTTTTCTCTGCCATCATTCTGAATAGAGCTGTCTCCTTCAGATGACTGAGGGGAGTCTTCACCCAGCAGCTGCCCCTCTTTTGAGACCTTGTTTGACAAAGTCAAAGAAGGTTCATCTTCATCCCCAGTTTTGGTACAGGAGACACTGCTGATGGGCAAACAGTCTTGTTCTGTGTCTTCAGCTTGGGTTTTGCCTGAAATGTAGCTTTGATCTTGGGAAGAAGAGTCCAAGTGGCTTCCTTCTTTTCCCTTCCTCGTTTGTAGCTCGTCTGTGTTTTTCTGGGGGCTCACAGATCGAATGCCCCCAGCTTTAGCACCAGCCTCCAGCTTCATCTTTTCTAGACGTTGCTTTTCTTCCAGTGTGAACTGTTTGATTCGCCGCTCCAGGAGTCCGTCTAATTTTGATGATTTTACTTTCCTTTTGTAGCAAGTCCTTAAATGAAATCCCTCACTGACATTGATTATATCCCGTTTACAATGACTTTCCTCATCTTTCATGGAGGATTCCATTTTCACATCATCCACATCCATAGGTTCTTCTTTGATGACTTTATCATTTTCACCATCGATGTCTTTTTCCACTGTGAAGAAGTAACTGAGTCAGTGAGCTCCTCAACAATGAATACAAATTATATTTTTACATTAAGTACTAAGAAATAAATGGACCTTTTAGCATATTAATAAATTTCAATTTAAAAAGGAACAAAAGCTTCAGACACTACTACAATGGATAACAGGCAATCATTTAAGACACTTTAGATATCTTGACAAAATCTGTTACACAGTTTTTCACTAGTTATTTCTGAGGTTCTATGCTTTTACTCATTATATGAGTTTCACAATAACAAAAGATTATCACCTGTGTCTTTTGCATGATCTGAGTTTTCAGAAATTGTGTCAACTTCTAATTTGTCTTCATGCAACTTTTCTTCTTTTACTTGTACTTTCTCCAAGGTTTCTGAAACATCTGCTTTGTCTTTTGCTTGCAGATCTCGGGAATCCTTTCCTCTGTCTTTCTCTGTTTTTACCTTAGTTGGACCTTTTCGTTTATCCAAGGTGCATTTTTCATCTTCACTCTTTGCTATTAACAAATTAAATTATTTCAATTATCCAGAGTATTTTTTGCACTCTGCCACATTTGAATGTATGTTAGTTTACCTCTCAAATAATTTGCACATCATTAGTGAAATTCAGAAAGAGAATTAAGCATCCAGTGGTAACACCATAGATTAAACAGTGCACTACTGAAGAGATATATACAACTCCTCAATATTCAAGATATTATTTTTTTTGGTTTTGATGCTCTACATAACTTTTATCTACCTTTAATTTAAACAAGGCTACACAAAGATGCACAAGCATTACACACAACATAATTGAAACAATTTAATGTAGCTACAAAATGTCTTTGACAATTGAACAGGTTACACTGACCAAGACTACCAGATATCCACAAAAGCTTTGCTGAATTCTAAATTCCTAAATTCTCCTCAAGAAATATCACACACAAATTAATTGCAATTTAAAAAAAATGCAAGCAATGCAGACACTTACTTGATAACAATTTTCTGTAATTTGCATTAGTATTTCCTGGCAGTTTGGGCATAAACCTGTGGACATGGGTTTTACTAATCCAGCTCCAGCCACCATATCCTGTTACTCTATATTCCTCTCCTTTTTGTTTCCAAACCTGTAAATAATTTTTAAAAAGTAGTATTAATAATTCTGTATGCTGCATTATTATGTTTACATTTAAAAACTCAAAGATAATTTTTTAAAAACCCATTTTTACACACTTTCCCAAGCAAGTTGAAGTATATTTGTGAAATAACATACTAAAATTGAAGATATATCTGCTGATAATTAAATTGATTTATCCTAGTAACATCTAAAAGCCTCATTTATTTAATGTAATTGTGAGAATCTATTTACCTAAAAGCTGAAAGATGATACAAGTTTTTGATTCAACCTGTATGCTTGTTACAAGTGTAGAGGAAAGAACTACTCCAACAAAAGCAGTTAATATTCTATTGTAGGAGAACATAAAGAGGTTTCTACACTAGATCCCATCATATTACACAACCTTCCAAAGGCTGGATTTTTTAGGGAGAGGCAGTGGGACAGGGACAGACACACAAGATTCCAATCAGTCCCTAGAACCTTCCATTAGGAAAGGCTGCATTTGCAGACCAGTATCTGTCACTCAGGCAGTGTCAATAAGAGCATGACACAGATCTAGCTCAGTTCAGATGAAGATAATGTGCTTGAATACATGGCCATGGCTCCTACTTCCATGTTGGAGTAACACAAGGACATGAACACTCTAAGTTTAAACAGAAAAGAGTTAGAAATCAATAATTCCTGCATTTTCTTCGTTCAACCCACAAAAGAAACCCTCACCTGGTGTTTGACAGGAAATGTGTATTTCACCCATGTAGCTTGCTGCATTGTTTCTTCTTCTTCTTGTTTTCTCTCTTTTTTTTTCACTTTCTCCTTTTCTTCTCTTTCTATTGCTGTCATTCTGCGTAATCTAAGCCATACAGATTTAAGCACATTTAAATACAGGATCTTGCAAGCAAATATAAGAAGTCAACAGCACATAATACCCCTTGAATAAATTTAAATATTGAGCTTAAGAGGAATGCCCACTATCAGGTTTTAGGTATTACTTGTAACAGGAACATCACTTTTTTGCTATTTCAGTGAGGCAAACACAGCTGGATGCAATTGTGTCTAACACCAGACACATCTATTTTCTGCTCCTATGACAAAATGAGAGACAAAACCCAGACTCCAGTGAACTGAGAGTGTTGCAATTTGCTCTTCTATTCTCCCAGAGTTTTAGCAGTTTTGAGACTGTGACTCAGATAAATCAAACACAGGAGCAGTGACACTATAAAAATATTGTCATGATTTTTCAGTATTTCTGTTTGAGAAAATACACTTCAAGTACTGAATGTCTATCTTAATTGAAACATAATTCTTACAGCCTTAGAGGAACTAGCAATTGCAAAACAAAGTAAAATCGTCATATTCAACTGTATTTTAATATTTATTAATTTTACCTCGTATGCCCCAAGGATTCCCGCCAGATGGGCAGCATGACAACTGGTTTGATTGCACACTCCAATATAGCCAGTGCAAGTGCAAATTCTCTGGGTTTGCTGCACATCTGAACAGCCTTAATCCAGTTAGACCTAAATAGGAAAAAAGAGAACGATTTGAAACATAGATATGCACTAATATAGCCTGCCATTTTACATGACAGGATTGCCATTACCATTACAGGATAAAACCTCCTGTAGTAATACTTCAGTCAAATGCACAACCCTTTTAGCCTCCATCATAAACACATACAAAGTTTTATTATAGTGAAGCACAGAGCTCGGAAATCACAGATTTGAAAAAAAAAAAAAAAAAGACTATTGTTTATTAACACTGCTAGCAAAACCACAAGTAAAACAAGGAGAAGATGTATTTCCATTTATTCATTTACCTGTGGGAAGCCCAATTAGGGTGCAGGAAGGATGCTGGGATATTGTTTTCTAGCTGAATAATGGTCAGCCTCAGGGTGGATATGGTGAGAACTTTGGAGCCATGCACAGACCCATTCCACTTGAACTCTCCAGCTGGGGTCAGGCAGAATTTGTGTGAGAGGTGTCGCCTCTTGTCGTGGTCCTCCCTGTGCTGGTGTTTGTTCAAAGCAAAGGAATTGGTGGCATATTGATTGTGATAAACACGGTACTTCCCCTCCTGGCCCAGTTTGAAATAGTTGTTGATATTTCCTTTAATCACCACGTCCTTCTTGGTGTTCACTCGGGAGACTTCACCTTGAGAGTTGACCACCAGAACCTTATGGAAGAAATATTGGAAACTTTTCATTGAATTTGTAAAATAATTCCTTCTATTTACTTATATATGATTTAGGCTCCAAATGTCTATCTACAAAAGAATAAAAATACCCTGCACCAGTCTGGAGAAACAAATAACTGTTTATCCAATACACCAATACATGTCTTCATCACTGCCTGTCTACAGAGTTAGCATATTCCCAGAACAACTTTAACATTAAAAAATCACCATCTAGGCTCCTCAGACCAAACAGGAACCTGTTTTGCTGCTCTGATTGTGCCTGTGGAGGGAGAGAGCTTTGGGAAAGCAGCTTCACTAAACTCAGGTAAGCTCTCTGTGAACCCCTCCTTGATACATCACAGAATTCAGATATGCAGCTTAGCAAACAAGTATCCTAGACTTTGAAAACATGGTCTAGATAACATCACTGGACTAATTTGTTTGTCAATAAATTCATTAAGTGATAACTTACATGGAAAATCAATTAACAAAAATAAAATTAATATACCAAATAACATGCAGACAATTAACTGCAAAAAAAGTCACAACAGCCAGGCATTTCCTTCCTGGATAAACTGGGCTGCTTAAAAAAAACAGAACCAAAACAACAAACAACCCAGTCACACAAAACAACTACACTAGTGCACTGGGTCACTGTCATCACTCTGTAGAGAGCACCCAAGAGAGCAAAGGAGGAGGGGGGGAAAGAGCTTCCTGTGATATTAAAATTTCACCATTGCTAATTTATTACTGCCTTCTTTTTAAAATTACTTCCATTGCCTGAAAACATCACTTTTTTAAACTTTTCAATAAAATTTAGTATTCTTTAAAGAAATTATCATTTTTTCCAGAATATATTCTGTAGTTGAGTTTTCCAAGATGTGCACAAACCTCTCTGGTTTCTTTATACACCTTATTTGCTTCATTTGCTGCAGCAGCAACCTGCTGGCTTTTCATCTGGCTCAGTTTGCTATCTGGATTTCTCAGTCTGGTGAGCATCCGTGTTGAGCCTGGTGTGCCTTTCCCTGCACCTGGAGAATCACTTCTGTCACCATTGGATTTCTCTCCTGCCCAGGAATAAAAAAAGCTTTTAAAACAAGCTATTGATGTATGGAAGTCACAAAAAGAATAGAAAGTTTAGGGAAAAGATGCATAAAATGAAAGTTGGAGACGTCATTATCCTTATCATCCTTACTATTATTATAATTATCATCATCATTAGTGTTATTACCTATATCCTCTGAAGCCTGGGATCCCCTCTCTGCATTTTCAGCATCATCAAGAGTCTTAATGGAGTCATTGTGCCCAGAGCCCAGCTCGCTGCCACTGCTGTTCTCAACATCTGCCTGTGGAGGTGCAGCAGAACCACTGCTGGGGATCATCTGACCAGTTTCTTCTACAAAAGAACAACTTCAGTTTTAGTTTTTTTCTTTTGAATTGGATCAATGCAACTTTTTAAAGTTTTCATCAAAAAAAGGCAGATGCACATGTTTTGCTGGACTGGAGGGAAACACATAGAAAATATTAATTCCCTTCAGAGCACTGTATCCACAAGAGTGTTTTTGTTCTGTTTCAAGCAATTTCAACTTCTACATCTCTGAAGAACTGAAATTCGTACTTGTATTTAAAAAACAAATATATTTCAAATACAAAAATATTTCATCCAAGACAATTTTTCTATAGATGCACGCACTAATAGTCCTGAGACTGTTTTGCATTTAGAATTCATAAAATTTGGTCGTCTTGAAGCACCTGATTTTCTCTCCTTTAATTTTCTTGTGCTTTAGCTGCTCCTCAGAGCACACACCTTTCAGTTTCCCTTGTTTTCCATTGAGTCTTTGATTGTCTCTTCCTCAGCAACTTAATTCTCAGGAATCTCACAGATTTCTGTTTCATTGGCACTGCTCTAAATATCAGCCCACTTAAAATATCAGCCCCTTCCTGATCTGATGAGTCTTGATGTGGCTTCAGATGGGTTCCTGGTCATCAGCTGTCCCTGTTACTGTGACTTGACAGCTCTGCACTTTGTTGTCACCTCACCTGTTGCGCTGCCCCAGCAGGAATTTTTGACTAAATATCATTTAATTGCAGCTACCTCAAAATAAATCTCTCCCCCCTCCCAGTAGGAACAAGCCCCAATCCCTCAAAACAGCAAACCCAGAGATGTCTTCTGGGCTTTGTGCCAAAGGGAGACAGTTCAGCTGCTTAAAATCTACAAGATCTGCCTGCTTCTAGAATTCTTCCAAAGCATCAGGGATTCTGATGTTGTTAAGAAAAATGACAGAAGAAAACCTGTTTTTTGTGAAATATTCACTCCTAGCAGAATGATGGATCAGGTAAATATTCTGGAATTCTTAGAGGATCCCTAATCTGAATGCATCTTGATTTCTGACTCTGCCAAATGGGTGACCACCCTGTTTGATCTATTTCCCTTTTTACTATGAGGAAAAATGGACCTGTTTCCATGGCTGCTGTTTGGAAGAGAGTGGAAGCACCCAAACCTGTCTTAATAAAGATTAATATCCAAATTGCATTTAACAAGGATGGTGATATCCTCATCTACTTCTGCATTTTACTTCTATTTCCTCCTCTTTTGGGGATAACTGCCTCACCAATCCTGGTTCAGTATCTCTCCCTCTCTCTGAGAGTCTCAAACTGAAATTTCATAGTAAGAACACAAACATCACTGTGAATATAGTGTATTAGACATGAGGAGAAACCTTGTCCACACACACTTTCCTAAAAAAAAAAGAGCCAGCAAATATACAACTCACATCGAAGTTTTGGAAGGAGAAAAGTATTGATGAAAGTATAATAAATAATGATAAATATGTAAGTGAATCTTTAAAATAAAATACAAACCCATAAAGGTGTCTGGAACAAAATTATGGGATATGTATCTTTTCCATTAAACCTCTACACAATTATTTTAACTTAAAAATGGAAGAAGAAATAGGAGAACTGGAAAAAAAAATGTGGTCATGTATCTAAAATATATGGGTTTTGTCTCGTACATGAGGACATTTTCTGTACTTAAAAAGTGCACCATGAGGCTTGCAGATTACACATTAATCTTAGCTTTCATTTTGTCCTCCTGTTCAGAAAATTTATTACAACTGACTTTCATAGGTTGAAAAGCTGCAGACTATGAGTGCATGGAGAACTATTTCTGTAGGAGAGAAAACATTTACTACCTCTTTTTAAAACATAACACACTGAGTATGCTCACACCACACACGTTTAGATTTTTAAGAACTGAGAATAAAACTGAGAATAAAATCCTGATTGTTTTAACAGTAATCAGCTGTTTAGAAGAACATTTGTTATGCAGTAAATTCTGTAACAGAATATAATTCTAAATGTAATATAAATTCTAGAATAGTACACTCATAGTTTATGTTACATCTGATCAACTCCACTTATTCCTAAAGCAAAAGTAAGTTTGTCTGGTTTTAAATAGTGTGTATTATTACCTTTGAGTCACTGACATGGCAGAACAAAACATGTTAAAATACAATAACCCTTGTGCTTATAATTCTGAAATCTGTTTAAAATTTTCAGCATGACAATTTTAATCTTGACATTTCAGTGCAATGATTTATTCACATGAATGAAAACACTTTGTTAGTGATTTACACAGTAAATGAAAGGTTAAAATAATAAGCAAGCCAGCAGCAAATTAGGTTTGAAATAAACTTTGAGGATGCTAACAATCATTACAGATCACTATGGAAAAATAAAATATACAGAAAATAGAAAATAAAAGCTTAGCCATAGTTGTCTTTGGAAGGCATGGAAACAAATGCTAATGTCACGGAGGACCACAAATTTCAAGAACTAGTTGCAAGAAAATTAACTTTGAAATGTTAATAATGACAACGTAGCAGTAAAGGATGGCACTGCAAGCAAACAGCATGAGTGATATACACTGGGAATGATTTTAGTGGACAAATCAGAGAGAAAAACAGATTCCCCAAATTACAGAGGCATTGGTAACAGTGCCTTCTGTACCTGAGAGTTCCAGAGGGAGCTCTGATGCCACCTTCTTCTCTGCCACGTTGTTGCTATCAAGGGTTTCTGACTGACACCCCACTGCGTCCTTCCCTTCAGAGCAACTATTCTCTCCTGCAGAAGGATTTGTGGTGCTGTCATCAGTGCTTGAGGTCACAGAGTTACTTTTATCCCCAACGACTGTTGCCTCTATAGTAAAACGCACAACAAAACTTTAGGGATGTTCTTTATTATGCCTTAAGATGTCATTTGGCATCATCCACAGAAAGCAACTTCAGCAGCTTTGTTTGTTTGATAATGCTGAAAAAATAGAGAGCTTTTTCCTTCCCTTTATTTTTTGCTAGGAGATGGTATTGTCTCAGAATCAAAGAACAAACCAATTGTGAGGAGGAAAAAGTTAAAAATTATGTAATGTGGCTTACTACAGACATGTTGATCACAACCTGTATCACCTGTACCTCAAGGCAGGGTATCTAGGAGCCAGCTGTACAGAAGTAGGAAAATGGGTGAAATTACTTAATAAGAACAACTCCAACATACAAGCACAAAGGAAGTGACAAGTATCACCTATTACAGAAATACCTTGGAGAATCATACAAAGAAAGTACCACATTAACACTTAAAGAAATATGGAGTTCACTTCATTTAAATGGAGCTGTTAAAGCACAGACAGTTTTTTTACCTTCTGTTTTCTCTTTTTCCACATCTTGCTCACTGTGTGTTTCCTCAATTTTATCCTGCTCTCCAGATTCTTCCTTGTCTCTCTCAGCATCTGTCTGGTCATTATCAACATCACTTTTGGCCTTTTCTGCTTCCTCATCTCCTGTGTTTTTATCTTCCACTATTTCTCCTTTTCTTGCTCTGATAATGTCCAAAATTTCATCTACAATATAAAGCATGTTGTCAGCACGAAACAACAAACCACCTGCAGAGCCACGGAGCACAAATAACATGACATAAATCCTGCTTCTGATACAAGATAAACTAGATTTGATTCAAAGTGCAGCATCTATTCCCATTACACAAAATATTCCTACCATTTGCTGCAGAAAGGAAAGATTTGTTGCTGCCCCTTGCTTTGTTTGTAAGGTCTTCTGTCACATCCATGTGCCGATGAACTTCTTCACGCATCTCATCCAGGGTTTTGCATAGGTCAGCTTCCCAGTAATCCTTGTCCAGGCATTCGATCAACTCTGCCAGCTGGATCTTTGTGCTGTAGTACCAGATTTTCTTATCCTTCTCACTTTCTGAATCTTCCTCTCTGTAGGAGTATTTTAAAAATATTGATTTTAAAATATCTGGGTGAATGACAAAAATTGGTATCAGCCTACTTTTTGCAGAGCACTATGAAATGTCAATACCTGAGTGTGAATAAATAAATCACATTGCTCATATGCACCCAGCTTAATATCAATACTCCTTTCTTGTTTCCTTCCCTTTCTTCATCCCCTTAGTTCTCATGACAACTTCTTCAGGAAAGCATTGAGATCTCCTTAAAACTCCAATCTGACAACAAGCTTTATTCTCACTATATTTACTATTTCTGTAACCAGTAATTTACTACTAAATCTGAAGTGATCTGTAAATCCAGAATGGTAGTTTCTGACAGTATACTTAGGAAAAAACACAGTTAGAAAATTCAAAGTATAGAACATCACATTCATAAAATATTTTATACTGGCATCCTACAGCATCCACCTGTGAGAGCACAAGTAAGGGATAAGTCATAATACAACCCCTCTGAAAAGATCAATGGATTTCCACATTTTTAATCTGCAGTACTCCACGACCCCAGGAGCCCAGAATTACTGGTGCCAACAGCATCTCAGCAGGGCCACAGAGCCAAGGGAGCTCCATCAATATCCCAGGTAACAGGCTCTCCTGGAGGCTGCAGAGCACAGGGAAGATGCTCCAAGCAGCTCTGCAGCTGCTGGATTTCAGCTTGGCTTGATCCATCCTGTGGAGCAGCAGCAGCAGCCAGATCCAGGCTGGCATGAGCCTGTCCACTCATTTCCACTGCACATCCCAGACTCATTGAGAATCCTAACCCAAGAGCTGTGACAGCAATGGGAAACTGAATGTAAATCTCAAAGATCTGTCCTTGTGGGGTTTGTTGCAAGCTCCTCTCTACTGGTTCCCTTCCCGTGGCTTTTGTATTAAAAATGGCCTGAACTGGCTTCAGGAATTCAGAAAGACAAACATCCTTAAGGCAACTTGATCGTTGTTGATCTACTGCCTCCTACTCTGTATTTGTGAAACAATTAATATTTGCAACTCAATTAGAACACTACTGAAACAAGGTGGTTGTGAAGTTAATAATGGCAGTATTACACAAAATTCAACTACTAACTTGTCACAGCCATTATTACAAAACAGACTTTTGGTTTTGATAATAAAACCCGATGTATTGCAAAGAAACTTGCATCTCTCATAAAGACCTTTACTCATGAAAAGCAACTAATTCTGCTTTACCCATTTATTCCTCTAAACAGCCAACATTCCATTAGTTTCAACCACATCAACCTGTTAAGTTTGACAAGTTTTCTCAGAAAACAGCTAATCTAAGGAAGACTGTCATGTACAACACACCAAAATGTAACAGCTGAACATTGACAATCATTTGACTCTCTGGAATATTCTAGGCCTGTAAACTTCCATGTTAAAGAAAAATTACTGTTTAAACCATGTTTCCTCTAAACCAAGAGTTATTTACCAACAACAAAAGGAATGACAGCACTTTCATTACCGGTGGTGAACAAAAGCCATGGGAGAGGAAGATAAAGGCAAACACCCAAAACCCAAGATGGAAGGGGAGATGAGAAAGCAAGAATAGGGCTTTACACAGTGAGAGGAAATAAAAAGATGAAACAAAATGCTTAACTAAAAAGGACAGGGAATGGGTGCCTTCTGAGCTTTCCCTGGCGAGTGTCCAAGGGAAATGGCAAGTGCAAGACGCTGGCAGAGCAGCAGTGGTAAGGCTGCTGTGCTCCTGACAAACATGACTGTAGAATATGATGCTGTTATTACTCTCTTTCTTAACTGACCAAAAAGAGAACTTGAACCTTTCATTCTGAACCCCTCTGTTGTAGCTCTGTTGTAGTTACAGGATTATTTGCTAGAGAGATAATGCCATTTATACATCCTCTTATATGACCTAGATATGCAACAATATAAACGCTTTATATAGAATCAGAGTCACTTCGGCTGGAAAAGATCTTTGAGATCAAGTCTGACAATATACTTTCATCTCTCCATGAGGAAAGGCTGTGCCTGCATCCATCTGCCAGACAAGCAGCTTGTACACACTGCTTTTATTTTGATGGTGATCATCCAAGTGTTTTCTTATTTTCATGTTTCTCCCCCCCAGTCAGCAAATCTGAGACTGCTCCAGCTGCACTAATGCAGCCAGGGTGAGTATGTGTGTCACCTGAACATCCCAAGCAGCATCTGGCTTTTCCCTTCCCATCAGACCTTTCTATTCTAGGTTTGCAAGGTTGCATTAGACTGAAAAGCAATTAACTGCTGTTTTCAGTTTCCCTGGATAACTCAAGAAAAAATCCTCAGCACCAGTAAAGGTTTGCTGTACTGCAGGCGAGTAAACCCCAAGGCTCAGTATGCAGAGCTGAGACACCAGCCCACCACGGGTATTCTGCAGACAGCACCTGAAGTGAATCCTTCCACGTGTGATTTGAGTCCTGCCCATTAAAGAACTGCTCAGACAATATTCTAGAAACAGAGAATGAGGTTATCCAAGAGTATTTTAATACTCTTCTACTTCATTTTTATCAGGGTTTGAGCATAAAGCTTGTTTTGAACTGAAGACTCACAACCTTAACAAGAGAGTTTCAGGAATTAAAGAGTTTTCTCTTGAAAAAGCAGACAGAATGTGAAACAGCACAAACTGGTTGGTCTGTGTGCTTACACCAAACTCATCTCTGGCCAGACTTCTTTCCAAGATTCAGATATGTGCCAAGGGAAGACTTGGAGCACACAGCAGAAATCATTCCATGCAATCCATTTTCGCCAAATTAGATAAGACTTAAATTAACAATTATATAATTCCAGCTAACTTTCCCTTAACATCTTCTTGTGTTTACTAAAGGGACACCACTTTTACTCTCTGAAGAAATCAGAGGGGCTGTCATAAAAAGATGGAAAGATGCAAGTGTGCACAAGTGTTCCCAAAGCTTTTCCCGGCCAGTGCAGGCAGATTTGCCAGCTTGGAGCCGGACAGGTCTGCAGAGACTCCAGGGGACTCAGCTGAGTCACACACAGTATGTGAGGCCAAGGAGGGAGAAAAGAATCACATGACTATTTCCTACCTCTTTCAGCCTCCTTGGCTGCCAGGAACTATTCACTGGCAGGCTGCAGAGACAAGTTTAAAGACTGATAAAAGCAACATAGAAGATAATCAAAACTTTCAAGTAAGGTGATAACAAAATATTTAGTACTAGTAGTAGCAGATACTTCCTGAATTCCATGATGATACAGTTGGAAACTGAAGAATTCAGAAATTGTTTAAAGCAATCTATTCAAAGGAAGACCCAAACCCTTGTTAATTAACTGGAGAAAATAGAGGAGGACCCCCTAAGAACATAAACAGCATGACAAATCTTGTAGAAAAAAAGCTGAAACTGCTTTTGGCTGTCGAGGAAGATCCATACAACTCAGGAATAACAATGTGTGTCCTATTTTTACTATCAAAATGAAAGCCAAACAGTGTTTCATTATCTTCTTTCACAGATAATTGATAAATCCAAAACATCTCAATATTTCTATGAAGATAAACTTGTTAAAACACTGCAGCAGTTTACAAAGACAATGCAAGTCAAAGTCCTAAATTTCCTGAGTTAATAACTTGCAGAAATAATCTTCGCAAGTAAAACAAATGCAATTGACCCAGAGGCATCATCCTTAATTTGTAAACAGCTTGAAACAAAAAGTTCAGGAATTAATTTGCTCTTGGCCTGTTTTTTGTTTTAATCTTGTTGATATTTGTTCATGAGGAGACTCCTTCACTTTTACATCTTTGTAAAACAGACGAGATGGAAAAGAGAAACAAACCCACAATGAAGGGCTTAAAAAAGGCAAGTGATGGAAATAAAAGTATCAGGCAACAAGTCTACAAAACCCCTTAAAAGGTAGGAAAACCAACAGCAGGTTGGATTTAAGACATTTAAAGGGGGAGAGGGGAGAAGATGTAAAAAGCCCTAAAAACCCTTTTGAGAAACAAAACCACCAAGAATTTCGGATTTCAGTTCTCTAATCTTCCTGGGCAGGATTTCAAATTGGTATTTGTGCAGATTATTTTTAGATCTATTAGTTTCCTCTGATACATTTGATCACATGGCATTGGGGAATACACTCTATTCATTTTAATAAAACTGATATAATTTCACACATCTCAGATTTTAGCATTTGGCAGTTATCCCTCAAGTTACCCTTCAGTTATCCAAGATATCAGGGGTGTTTTGAGACTGTTCAGTGTGTATAAATAAATAAATAAATGCAAAAAATTGGGTTGGGATACAGCATGCTTACTGAATTTAAAAACTGAAAGTATAGAATTTAATGTCCATGTGATTTATTAAAGTTGCATTTTCCTGGAATTAAGTTATGTAGTACTTTTGCCCCCTTGTGATATAATTTGCCCACAGGACACCTAAGAGGAATACAAAACACTGGTTTTTAAAAACTCAATGCACTTAACTTTTGAAGATGTCTCTTCTAAGTGCAGTTAAAATTACTCTCAACATGCTAGAAAGAAACAACTCTCACATGTGCACATTTCAAAGGATCACGAAGCACCTGCATGATTCATTTTAGTTTGAAATATGTTGAAGTACTGCCTGCATCAAAACCTTCTGAACATCAAATACTCCACTTCACTGGGAAAAAACATTGTTTCACAGTTCGAGTTTGGTTAAAAATAATTATCTCTCTGCCTATATAAAGGGAGGAAACCAAGTCTGCCCATTTATCTCAAAATCAGCTCCTGAGTGATCTGCATTTTTTAATGTTAATTCCCAGATCTCTGCCAGTACAGGAGAGCAGTGAAGACAAACCCAACTTTAGAACAGCCTTTTCCTCAAGAGTTTGAGGGGAAAGACACAAAAACAAGGCAGAGGAAACCATAAGTTATTAAAGCAGAAGTAACTAGAACAAAAATAATCCCAGTTACATGCCCTTCACAACCAGGCATTTTGTGAAAATCAAAATTTCAGTACATTTTCTGAAGACAACAGGTAGGAAATTCTGTATGAAGCAATGAAATAATTGGGATATCAACAGCTTCAGGTGCCTCTTATGTCCTGGTGAACCACCTGAATGATCCACCCCTTACTGTGGAGCATGTGACTGAGTATAAACATGGAGCATATATATAGGAAAAAAAGAGAAGAGTATAAAAAATTACCTGCATCCTTTGAAATGTTACTTGGCACTACTGTGACATTTTATAACCCAGAGAAACTAAAAAAGCTCAAATATGGACTCTTTTTTTACGAATATGAAAGAAGAACACAGGAAACAGAGCAGAGATAATTATTACTTAAAGCATCAGCTGACAATACCCCAGAGAAACAGCCCCACATTTTAAAGGAATACGATGAGCCCTTAGAAGTGTCTCCTTTGCAAGATGTAACACCATCAGCAAACCTCACAATCCCTTTTAAACATGCTGGCTACTATCTTAACATTCCCTGTAACCTGCTTTGTATGAAATTCTGTTAAGGTGCCCAGCTGTGGTTTATTTTCTCCATAACACTGAATGGGAAAATGTGTTTCTGTGTTTTCAGAGCTCTGCTAAAATCTCTATTTCTCCTAATTTAACAATAGCACCGATTTAACTTAAATATTATTTCTCCTCCATTATGAGAACAATTAGATCAGAACAGTCTTTTATGAGAAAACCAATCTTTAGCCATTTTCCTGTGAAAAATGGATTTCAGATTCAACTTTTCAGGTAAAATCCAGGGCACAATGCCCTCACTAGCAAGAGTTTGATTCCTATTAATATTTTGAGGTACATTTGTTTATTGAGACCAACCAGCAACAGGAAGTTGTGTGACACACACACAGAGTACCTCCTCCACAGTGCCTTCCTCCAAGGGAAGTCATGCCTTGTCACAGCAAGGCCTGACTTGCTCTAGTGGCTTTCTTTACACTAAAGAACATTCAATGCAACATTTTCTGCATTTCTAGTAACAGTGAATCCCTTTGAGCATCTCTGAAAGTTTCAGATTCAAAGGCAGAGCATCAAACTAGTACAGAACTCGGCAGCCAAATGCTGCTTAAGCAGGTGACAGACCACAGGTAGTGTCCTCCACACCATGTGATGGCAAGAAGAACCTAACTTCCCTTCAGTAACTTCTACAAGAAACTGAGGAATTCTCATTAATATTCCCTTTATTTTCCTCACATTCATCTATTTTAGACATATTAATATTAAGCCTGAGGCCCTGTTTTTATGTCCTTTTTATGTATAGATTATAAGAATATTAATTTTGGATAAATATGGATTATTTACATGCTCTTTAAAATCTCCTTAAAAACCAGCAAGCAACAGCCTTATCTAAAGAAAGAACAATTTTAAGATGGCAAAAGCAATTTCCATGATGCAGTAAAAGCACAATACTATTGTTCAGGAATTATGCAATGATGAGTTCACTTACATGATGATTCTCCTGTTCAGGAACCAGTATTTCCGCCTGTGCCTGTCGTATCCAATGGGCTCGTGTCGGATGTAGGGTTTGTTTTTTTGGATTTCAGCCACACAGTCAGTCACTCCAGGCACCTTATGTGCCACGCAGACCTCGCACTGCCACTCGTCTTCGGGCACCTCCTCCAGAGGGGGTTTCACACACTCCAAGTGGTACACGGCCGAGCAAGTCTCACAGCAAAGCAAATCCCCAAGTTTGTGACAAACCCTACAATGATCATCGTACTGAATAACACCTTCTGACATTAACTCCTCACGTGCAATGTTTGTGGTAAGAAACTGATCCACTAAGAACTGCAGAACTTTGATTTTATTCTCTACTGGTCCATAAGGATAGTCCTCTGTCTCTTGGTAAGGAAGAACATGATGGTATTCCTTGTCACTCTCACAATATACCCGCAGAACCTCTGGCCACGTCATTCCATCTATGAAATACAAAGTGGAATTAACGCTATCTTTGAGGTCAGCAGGTCCAAAGGTAGTATTTGAAGTGTCTTCTTCACGTAAAACTGCTTTTAACAGCACTATATGCATCTCTGCCATAAGTGTGCACTGCTCTTGACTTACCAGAGCAGCACAGAAGTCCTCAAAACGAAAAGGAGAGAGGCGCAAAACAGTGCCAAAGTTCCTTAGTACCTCATAGATGGCAATAACATTCATTATATGCTCACTAGGCACCATTAAGTCCTCTGAGGATTTAGGAAACTCCAAGGGTGGGATATCTTTTTCTTCCAGTATTGGAGAACGAGGACGATGTGCTCTTTGTCTTCTCCTACCTGGAATAAAAAACAACAGTAAGAATTTTGCTGTTCACAGGTCAACATCTTTAAACATCTATCATCAATCACTGTGCTGGCATTCTGAGCTAATGCAAATTAAGGCTTCACAGTTACATAAATGTGTTAACTCAGCTAATCATCTTATACTTTAACCAAGAGTATGAAAATAAAACACAAGATATCTGAAGTTTTGCTTTAGATACATACAGGAATTGCATTTCCCACACATACACATCTACTGAAGCTTTAAAATGAAATATAGAAATGTAATTGCTTACACTACTTAAAAAGAAAGACTTTTCCTGCAGCCAAAATAATAATCTTTCCTCATTTTTATTCAACATGTCTAGTTTAAACCAGAAACATCAAGCTCCAAACAGATATTTTGTATTAAATAATTGCAAGTTATTCTCCTATCCAGCAAAGCTCATTTCAAGCAGATGTCTTAGGACATCAATTTCAACCAAATTAAAATACAAAAGAGAACCTAAAGCATGTTGCCCACTGCCTTCTAATTAGAATATTTCTCCTGACTACCTACAAACTGAAACCAGAAGATAAATGTGATGTTTTATGAAAGTATTTTAAAAATTCTCAATTTCTCAAAACAAACAAACAACCTCCCCTCCCAACCCACCCTCCTGCTTCAATAAAACAGAAGCCATATCCACAGAATGAGGAGGCAAAATTATGGAAGGATGAAGTTTATCAATAAAAGCTAATCTAAAGAGATGTTTACTACCTAAAATAAAAGACACTGAGTATAATTAATTCAGTCTCAGATGCCAATTCAGATAAGATGCCACACTTCCTTTCCTTGGATTCCACTATCCTTGATGCCAAGCAGAAGGAAAAACAAAAGAGGAACATTTTTGTAAATGACACTACCTGACAGATGAAATATTTTCATCTACCAAAACAACCAGCTGCATGCAACTATTTCTCAGCTATCAGTTAAAAGTTTTAAATTCACTCATTAAACTTATTTGCCTTTATAGAAAAAAAACAAGTTGAGAAAATCTCATAAACCATCATTTAGGTTTAATCCCAGAACTGAGATGAAAGGCGGTTTTAGGTCCTCTTACTAAGCATACTAAGATCCTGGTCAACAACTAAATTTCTAAATTATCCATAGTCCACAGACAAGTGTCAGAAGGATGCATTTCATGCACAGAGAAAATTCAAAGAAAAACTGCAGCTATCCATAGCAGCCATTTCCCACACACACTTCATTAAAATGGGACATGTATTAAACTTTGTGTGTTCTGACACTGGAGAGTGACACAACCAACAGTCTGGAATTTATAGATTGACATTTGTAATTTCTTAACCAAATTCTGCACATAACAGATCTCCTCAAAAACTGGCTCAAGGAAATTAAGACATAAAGTGAGCTCCAGTCAGCTTGGATGTTACCATTAAATGGAAATGGCTCTATGTGGCATTTGTTCAATCTACCCTACTCCCATCAATGCTCCCAGAAATACAGAAAATAAGTCTAATGTGGGAGAAAACCTGATAAGGCAGATCCTGTTGAACCTGAACCATCATCATTAAAACATTAATGTATTGAAAGGGGAAAAAAAAATTACCAGAAAGAAAAGCTACCTCTAAGAAACACCTTGATGCACAACAAATTATTCCAGAAAAATAAATCAACCCTTAGACTGGTATGGCAAGAAGGCACCAGACACAGCTCTCCCTTTCCAATGTTGAAGAATGAAATCTTATACAACAAATTACACACCCAAACAATAAAGAGGATGAACTGCAAGATGTTTCCATTACAGAAGTAACAGGTCAACCTCATCTGTGCATAAAAATAACTTTCCAAGTTTAGTGAAGTTTGAGTTCTGACTGTGGAAAATGAAGGAATGCTTCTATGACTGTCTTCCAACACGCCTCTGCACTAATCAGTGGAAAATGTTTAATCATGGCAAACACACAAAGACAAGGGAGTTCCATAGCCAGGCACAAAGTAAGTGTTCTCTAAACTCTACTTTTCTATCACCATGATCCAAAATCATATATGCACAGGCCACAGCTGGTTTAATTAAAAGACCCCAAAGCAAAACAAGACATGCTCACACTATAAACTGCTTTGGGGTCCTGAAGCTTTCTTCAACATGGCAGTCCTAGCTGGCCATGCAAGACAACACCACCACTACCAGCACAGAACAGATATTCTGAAATCACTGATGGCCCTCACAGAGTCCAAGTATCACAAAAGCCAGCAGAGCTATCAACCAGGATTCTTTCTGTAGCAGAAAAATGTGTCTGTCACACAGGAAAGCCACAAAACAGCCCTTCAAGAAAGAGCAGCAAGGACATTAACCCTACTTTACCTGAATTAATGAGAAGTGACAAATCCTCCCAGTAATTTTAGACAAAGATAAACCAGAGTGAAGGACCACTGGTGGAAAAAATGGACTCCAAATACCAATTTCACTGATGTCTCTTACGGTATGGAATCACAGAATCATTAAGGTTGGAAACCTCTTCAGATCAAGCCCAGCCACCTCAGCCCCACCACCATGTCCCCAGGTGCCACATCCACACATTTCAGAACACCTCAAGGGTGGGGGGACCTACACCAGTTTCCTGAGCCTGTTCCAGGGCTTTACAACCCTTCAGCAAAACAACGTTTCCTAATACATAATCTAAACATCTACTGGTGCAACTTTAAGCCACTTGTATATTTGCCACATGAGATTAATAGCAGAATAAAAAAAAAGAACTTTAAAACAAGGCATTCCTAACGTGTTCTGAAAAAATTAATCTCTAACACTTCCTCTTACAAAGGAAGCACACTGGTACAATTATGAGATCTAGAAGAAAGGTGTTATCAGTATACAAAGTGTCATAACAGCATAATAAAGAATTGTACTTTGGTGCAAGCACAATACAACCCTGTGTCTGCATTAGTCATACCATTCCATCTCCTACTCAATTTATGTATTTTCATGTTTGCTTTGGTATAAAGAACAGGAATTTCAAAAGCAATAATGAAACAGATGATAGGAGAAGCAGACTGCATTATCAAATGTGTGCTTCATTTGTGTTAGGCCTCACAGTTGCAGCACATTACAATATTGTGCACCTCAACACTCCCCATCCACACTGGAAACCACACATCACAGCTCAAGAGCTCAAATCATTTCTCTTTTCGAACACAGAACTGCTCTGAACAATTCTCAACTAAATATAAACGGGTTTCCAGAGCTAAAAAAGGCAAGTATTTAAAGATGCAGAATATTTTAGATAGAAACTGTATTTTTCTTGAATGACTTGATGGCACAGTATTCAAAATTTTTCTATGCTGGCTTTTTTTCTTTCCAATTTCACTTGCAATTTGTTATTAATATTCTCTGTACTGGGGTTGAAGAGAATTTGAAGTTGAGAAGAGAGTCACAAAGCGTGATTTGGAAATTCAGAAATTTCAAGCAATTTGTGCTTAAATGTATTACTGGCCAATACACCAACTGTGATCTCAAGAAACACTCAGACACCTTTAAAAAAAACCTCAAAGGTCCAAGCCAACAAACCCAAGCATTCTAATAATCTCCAGTGAAAAAGATGGACATTCTCTGCCAAGGCACTCATAAATTTTGAAGCACTGCAAGTGGCTGCTCAACTGAAATTAAAAGTGCAGGTCAATGGAATATGATATAATGATGTCAAAGTGCTACAGGTCTCTTTTTTGAGCTGAAATGTTGGTATTTTACTGGTTGGTCTGGATAACCTTTCTTCACTGCTGATTTTTCATTGTGCTGAAAACCCACAGCTCACACTGCTTTGGAGCAGCTCCACCTCCTGTGTGAGGGTTTTTGAAGATCACAGTCCATGTTTACCCAACTGTGCCTCATAAACACAAAAAAAATCCTTCAAATGTTGAAAAATGTCTCTCTACAATAAATATATATGATTTTTCAATCTCTTCACTTTCAAGGACAATATCCTTTTTCATGAGGCAAGTGGGCCAATATTTAAATTCAACATTCAGTGGCAGACACAAAAAATCCACTGCCCAGCAAAGACCTGTGGCCACTTCAAACACTTTAGTTCAAATTATTTTAGAGATACTAGGATTTGACAATCTTTTTTTTTTTTAAACTTGTTGTCATTTGTCAAGGATTTCGGCCCCCACAGGGAATTTTTGTTCCAAACAGAAATTGCAGTATGTACTATTCTGTTTAACCCCACAACCATCAAGAGGATTGCAGAGGAGGTGCACTGGCAGGTTCCTTCTCCTTTAAGCACCACCACCTGACTGACCAGACTTGAAACTGAATTTTCATGTAACTACTCTAAATTCTAAATCTACTCTCAATTTACTCACACTGAAGTTTCCCAAAACATACTCAAGTTTTATTACATGCAAATTAGATACTTCTGACATAGTTTCTGCAGGTTAACTCAGTCTCTGAATCAAATTTCACTTCCAAGTTTGTGGCAGTACAAAGGCAGAAAATGTCCATTTCTACACCACTCAAATTCCATAGCTTTATTTGGTGGAAAAAAATTGATTTGCCAATAATCTCCTGCTGCCACAGCTGGAATATTGACAGGATCCAGATCCCCTGGAGTGTCTGAGCACTACATTTCTCTACATTTCTATCTAGCACAAGCTTCTTTTAAATGGCAAGTTCTTCACTGGTTGTCTCTCCCCAAGTGCTGAAGCAGTCTGCAGTGGTTACCTGTCCCTATTTTGAATTCCCTAGTTGAAGAGTTGCCTTTAATTAAGATGAAAGAGTAAACAATTCTATTTCCATGGCACATTTAATTATAGATACTGATAATTACACTTAGGATAATCAACTAAAATAATTCATATTATAAATATTTAAGCAAACACACTAATGATATTTGAAATAAAACAAAGTAACTCAAGTAACATCTGAACACCCAAAACCAGAATTTAGTTTAAAAAACCAAACCATTGCTTTATTTTTTTTTTATTTGCATCTACTCAACCTACTCGGTTCAAATGCCCACCC